GCTCTCCCCCTTGCAGCACCACTGCACAGCATCCTCTCTTATTGCACAACACAAGAGTTGCAAATAAATAGAATAACAATAATTTATTTGCAACCCTTGCTGCGGCCTAAAGGGGAGCACTGCAGCCATGTGCACCGGAGGTGGTGGGTACCCTCCGGAGATGGCAGCGGGGAGTGACTCGCCGCTCTTAATTAATTGTCTCGGTAGGCGCAGGCCTGCTTGCGCGAGCCGTGCTTCTTCCCCATCTCCAGCCCGGCGATGAAGTTGAGGCAGTTCGCGCACGGCTGCACGCAACACCCAAAGAAGAGAGGAAGTCGTGAGTCGTGGCGCCAGACCATAGCAATATAGTACGGAGAGACATGATATCGATCACAGAACTGTTGTGTTGCAACACATCAAAATGTGAGGCTGCAATCGGCGATGATGGTTCTAAAAAACAACGGGAGAGCGCGTACCGCGTTTTGGGGACACCAGGAGAGCCGCGTGGAATCGGTGACCGACTTGACCTTGCTCGAGGTCAGCCACACGGCGGCCCCCGTCGCTTCTCCCCGCTCTTTCTCCTTCTTCGCTTCGTTCTTCTTCTTCACTACGTTCTTCTTTTCGTTCTTCTCTTTCTTGGCCTTGCCGGTCGAATCCCACTTCCTCGGCCTCCCTCTCCGCCTCTTCATCTTCGGGCTCTTCTCCTCCGTTTCCTGCTCATCGCCTCCTTCGTCGTCGTCGTCGTCGTCGTCGTCGTCGTCGTCGTCGTCGTCGTCGCCGTCGCCGTCGCCGTCGTTGTCGTCGCCGTCGCCATCGCCGCCGCCTTTGTTCACGCGCGGCGGCGGCTTCTTGGGGCGCTGCTCCGGTTCGCGGCTGCGCTTCCTGTCATGCCGCGGTTCATCGCCGGCGCACTGCAGGCCGTAGATGTCCACCTCGGCCTCGTCCGTGCCCTCCATCTCGTCCGTGGTACTCTCGACGTCGGTCTTTTCGTCGTCGTCGTCGTCGCCAGTGACGTTGTCGCCGTCTCCCTCCCCATTGCTGCTGCTGTCGTCGTCGTCTGCTGCGGTCGCCCCAACCGACCACCGCTGCCGCCGCCGCCGCTGCTGCTGCGCTCCGTCCACATCCACAGAAATCAGCACCCGCCACTCGCTTTCGTCGTGCCCGTCACTCGCCTCCCTGCCCGCCGCCGTTCCCGCCTCGTCTGTGCTGTGGTCCTCCTCCTCCTCTACAGCCGCCAGTACTCCCACCGCCTCGCTGCTGGGCGCGGCAGCAGCGGCAGCCGTGGCGGTGGTGCCGCTGCTGCCAGTGATGCTGGTGGTGGTGGTGGTGGAGGTGGTCGTGGGTGCTGGAGGGTATTCGGAGGGCTCGGGCTCCTGGATCTCCGCTCGCTCTTCGTCGTCGTCTTCGTTCTCCGCCTCGTTGGTCCCGTGGTCGCTGTCGCGGTCCAGCATGGGCAGGAGAGGGTCGGGAGAAGAAGGCCACGTGATGCCGGCGATTATGGTGGGCAGCACGCCACCATCCTCGTCGTCGTCGTCGTAATCATCATCATCGTCATCATCGATGACGGTGGCGTACCCCTCGTTGGCGGCGGCGGCGGCGGCGGCGGTAGTGGTCGTACTCGTCGGGGCAGCGTAGGCGCCGTCGTCGTCGTTGGCGTGGGCCTGGGGCGAGGAGTACCACGGGGCGTCCGTGGCAAAGGCGAAGTAGGACCCCACCGATGTAGTCGGCGTGCTGCTGCTGCTGCTGCTACTGCTATTACTACTCGTGTCGTCGACGCTGACGTTGGCGGCATCGCTTTGGTCGGCCTCCTTGTTCTTGGGCACTGCAGCATCCGCCATTGTTGGTGCGGCTTCTGCTTCGTTTGTTTCGGGTTCTGCTTCTGCTTCTGTCGGCTGCTGTTGATGGCCTCCTGCTGCTGCTGCCACCTCCTCTGCTGGCGGCGGCCGCGGCGGCTGGTGGGGGCGGGGGGCGCGCAGGGCGGCCATGCCGAGGCGCACCTGGCGCAGGTCGAGGCGGCGCAGGCGGTGCAGCACCCGCACTTGGCCCACGAGCCCCGCTACGAGCAGCTCGAGCTGCTGCACCTGGCGCAGGTCGCGGCGGCGCTGGCGGTGCAGCACCCGCACTTCGCCCACGAGCCCCGTCACGAGCCGCTCGAGCTGCTGCACCTGCTCCTCGAGTACGCTGACGATGCCCACCACTCCTTCTTCTTTCTTTTCATCTTCTTTACGTGGGCCGAGCAAGTGGTGCGTGGTGGCCTCCATCATCGTTCGATCTCTTCTTTTGTAGTTGTAGGAATCTTTTTGGCGCCTTTTTTATTCGTATTATTTTTGGGGCTGGCTGTTAGTACTCGAGCTGGTGCTTCTTCACCTTCGCTTCACGTTCCTTCTTCACAAGCGGGAGGACTCGGCCAACCTGCCCCAAGAGCGGCCACGAGGAAAGAAGAAGAAGAGAGAGGTGTGAGGTGAGGCGTGTGTTTATTGCGAACAAGAAGCGTTCACAACTGGTAGGACCACACGACGTGGTGGTTCAGCCCACCACCCACACGCGCACGTGGTCGAGCGCCGCGAGCTTTGGAGGACAGGGTGGGCTTGAAGGAGGGGTGCAAGGGGTGTTTACTTGGAGAGGCCGATGACGCCGCACGCCAGCCGAGCACCAGCGTGGCCAGTCGTCAGCGAATCCTCGAAGCCACCTGTCCACACAGTCAAGAAGAGCCGGTCAGCAGTGATACCACGCACGCTCTCATCATGTAGAATCATCATCCACCTCACTTGGAACCACTCTACAGCGCCAAGCCAAGGATTATGGTAGAGATTGGAAGGGGGGAGGTAGAGTACCCTTGCCAAAGTCATCCTCATCGGCGTGAACGACCATGGTCCTGCCGATGATGGAGTGGGGGCCGCCGAGGGTGACGAGCCTGTCCTTGATGGTGGTGCGGGCCACGCCCGTCTCGTCGGCCACGACGTTGCCGAGGTCGCCAACATGACGCTCCTCATCGTCGGGTCCGCCGTGCTTCTTGCCGAAGGGGTTGAAGTGGCCGCCCGCGCTCACGCAGCCGTTGGTGTTGTCGCCGAACTCGTGGACGTGGAAGCCGTGGGGGCCGGGCTTGAGGCCCTTGATCTCGACATCGATCGTCGTTGGCTCGTCATCAGCCGTCTGCGAAAAGCGCACAGTGCCCTCCACAGCCGCATCTCCGAACCCGCGCAGCACGCACACAGCAGTCTTGGTCGCCATCTCTCTAGCTTGGTTGTCTTTGTAGTGATTGATGATGGGGATCTGACGATTAGCAGTCACCACGCGTGGCCTGTATTGTCCTCAAAGCCGACAATTACCCCGTTTGGTGATGGAATTCGGCGCGCGTGTTTTTTGTATCTTTCTATTTTCCGTTGGCCTATTTTTTATTTCTTTCTATTTTCCGTTGGCCTGTTTTCCTTCCTCGTTTTCTCTTTCGGAGGTAGCAGGCGTTTGAGGAGGAACCTGACTGACAAGAAGGCGGAAAACAGCAGGCTGCCGGGACCACGCAACCCCCACGCCATGCCGCCTCCACGCGGCCAGCCGTGGCCAGCCGCCACCACCACCACCGCCACCATCAGGAGAAAACGAGAAGAGCTAAAGTTTCTCGAACCGCTTAAGACGCACGTGTGCAAAACACCCAGCACCCGCCGACCCACCACCTCCATAGACTCAAAACACAGCCTTCACCCACCACTGCCACCAGCACCACTGCGAACGCAGCAGCTGCATTTGGACCACCACCACATAAAACAATGGAAGTGCGAGCCCCACAGGCCCGACCACAGCGTACATCGCGCCGCGACGCCGCCAACGGCGCCAGCGACGACAGTGGGGCGCCGCCACCACCGCCGCCGGCCGAGCCCCGGCCCGTCGCCGTACACGCCCTCCTGCCCCCTCACCACTCACTTCCCCTCACTCACCGCCGGCGGTGTGCAGAGCTGGAAGGTTGAACTGAGCGGCGGTGCACTTGCCGGACTGATCGTGTGCGTGGCCTTCTACCCCCTCGGTACGCGACCACACACACACGCACACACACGCACACCACCGCACACGCACGCACTGCAGCGAGAGCGTTGCTCACTCTGGTGGACCCCCGTCGCGGGGTGACTGCAGAATCGGTGGAGGCGCGCATGCAGGTGGGCCAGCTGACGGCGGGCGCCAAACGATCGCTGGCGGGGCTCGTGGCGGCCGTGGCGCGCACGGAGGGCGCGCGGGGCCTCTATCGCGGCGTGGTGCCCACCGCCACGGGCATCTTCATCAACATGGGCCTCTACTTTGCCCTCTACGACCACCTGCGCACGCGCCTGCGCAAGACCTTCCCCGCCACTTCGCCTCCTTCATCGTTATCACCTTCATCGTCACCATCGTCGTCAACAACAACAACAACAACAGCGTCGCTGAAGCCGCCGCGGCCGACGATGGGATTCGATCTGGTGGCGGCGGCGGTGAGCGGGGCGGCGTGTGCGGTGATCGTGAATCCGTTCTGGGTGCTCAAGCTGCGCCGCATCACGGCGCCGCCCACGCCGACCGCCGCCGCGCCCTCTCTTCTGGCCCTGACCAGGAGCATCATCGCCACCCAGGGGATCCGCGGGTACTCACCCACGCGCCTGTTGTGTGCCGTGTGTGTCGTGTGTGTCGATGTGCAGTATTCGCACTCACTCTGAGACCGTTGGCGGGGAACGCAGGCTCTGGCGGGGAACGCTGATCTCCGTGTTGGGCGTGGTCGACGGCGCCCTCCAGCTCGCCACCTACGATCAGGTAATTGAGCCGCGGCCTCGCTCTCTCCTTCGTGTGCGTGTGTCGTGTGTGTGTGACCGCGTTCTTTCCCCACCGTACTGATCGCGCGCCCCCCCTTTGCCGCTGTGGAGCAGATGAAGTATAGGCTGACGGACGAGCGCGGGGTGTTCCCGGCCTGGGCGCAGCTGCTGGCCGGCGCCGGGTCGCGTACGCTGGCCCTGGTGGCCACCTACCCCTACCAGCTCCTCCGCTCCGTCCTCCAGCAGCAGAACTGCCCCTACCGCGGCGTCCTACACGCCACCCGACACGTACTCTCCCCACTCCCGGGCGCACCGCTGACGCTGTTGTTGATGAAGATGATGTTGTTGTTGTTGTTGTTGTTACTGATGGTGATGGTGATGGTGATGACGATGATGCGCAGATCGTGAGCACGGAGGGCGTGCGAGGGCTGTACAAGGGGATCGGACTGAACCTGACGCGCTCGATCCCGCCGGCGGCCTGCATGTTTCTCATCCTCGAGCAGTTCCGGCTGGCCATCAACGGGGCCGCAACCAAGTGAATCATCACACGACCCGGGGGGGGGGGTGGAGGCACACTCTTCAAGAGAGGGGCGCCACGGCCCGCGCGTGCTGGCCGCGGAGGGACCAGTAGTCGCGCGCGGGGCACAGGGCCAGGTAGTCGCGCGCGGAGCGGAACGGCTGCTTGCGGAGGATGAGCAGCACCCAGCCGCACCACCACCCGCGCACCTCCCGCGAGAAGGCACGCAGGTCGGCCACCGCGCGCACGCGGTCGTAGGCCTCGTCGATCGCGCGACACAGGACTTCGTGCTCCTCCACCAGCGCCTCCACCTCCTGTCGCCTCAACACCGTCAGCCACATATATTACAACATTCCTAGCAACACACACGACACGACACACACACATGACACACAGGGGAAACGCACGGGGGCAAATTGGGGCCAGTGGGCGAGGAAGAGGCGTGTGCGCCGGAGGCCCAGGTAGCGGATGGACTCGCCGAGGCGCCGTTCGTCGGGGAGGACGGGCGAGAGCACGAGGGGCGCCGGGGACGAAGGCACCAGGGGCGCCGTCCACTGCAGCCACACGTGGAGCGGGTTCATCGCCTTCGCCCGGCCCAACCTTGCATTTCCAAATGAAAACACAAATGTGGGCGAAATGGAAGAAGAGAAGCGCACGCACACGAGTGTCGTGTCGTGTCGTGTCGTGTCGTGTCGTGTCGTGTCGTGCCGTGCCGTGCCGTGCCGTGCCGTGTCGTGTCGTGTATGTGTGACGTGTCGTGTCGTATGGGAGGCGGACGGGTACCGGGCATCGACGAACAGGTAGCCGGCACGCAAGAGCGGGTTGGTGGTTTTCACCTCCTCCCGAGCCTGCGCCGGGGTCAGGTCCGTGAACTCGCGGGCGCTGTGCCATCCCCGCTCGGCCTGCGTTCGGCACGATTGTCGACGTGGAATGCAAAGTGAGGGGGGGGGGAATTGGGAGGGATGTAGCACGCACGGCGATGGCGGCGGGTTCGAGCTCGCGCATGGTGGCCATGTCTCGCACGCCCGTCAGCAGGAGGTCGTCCACCACCGGCCGTGTGATGAACCGGAGCCGTCGCAGCGTCATCACGAACGTGTACACACTTCTGCACGCGCTGTTGCTTAAAAAACAAACCGCGCACTCGCACATCAGGAGATGTGTGATGGTGGTGTACCGGCGGGTGGTGGTCGTGGTGTCGCCGTCGTCAGCTGGCGGGAGGGAGTAGCCCAATGCCCGCCACAGATGCCAGAAGGCGTCCTGCAGGGGCTCCTCCAGCCCTGGAAACGCCTCGCGCGACGCATCGGCATCCCCTGAGGTCAACAATTAAAAAAAGCAGATCACGGATTGCTGTCAGACAGAGGCCCACAACAGGACCGAAAAGCGGGTGAGGAATGTGGAACGCGTGGGAATGCAACATACCGGGGCTGGAGACCCGCCATTGGCCAGCGTAGTAAAACAGAGACAGGGTCACCCCGTCCACGTACTCGAAAACCCGCACCGAATCCTGATGTGAGAAGAGAGAGAGTGTGTGTGTGTGTGGTGTGTGGCGTGTGTGGCGTGTGTGGCGTGTGTGGCGTGTGGCGTGTGGCGTGTGTATGCGAACCCGTGGCGTTGCGATGTGAGTGGCGGGGTGTGAATCTACGTCACCGCGAGGAAAAGGAGAGGACAACATGATACGTACCCAGTCCAAGGAGGCGGAAGAGGGCTCGTGCAGGTGGGGCACCTGGGCGGGAGGCCAGCACACCACCTCCCAGTTCCGGCTCGCGTCCAATCTGTGTCGCGCGGGCCACGAGTTGGAATGGGGATAGATGTATGACAGTTGGAGGGGAGGCGGCAGTACATGAGACCCCCGTGGCATTCCTGCGCCGCTGTTGCACACTTGGGCGGTCGATGGTGTTGACGTTCCGGGCCTTCTTCTTGCGCTGGGCGGTGGTGATCGGGGTCGGCCTGCGGGAGGAGGAGATCACATGAGGGGTATGTATGGATGGAATTCGAGCTGGGTGGTGGTGGTGGTGGTGGTGGTGGTGGTGGTGGTGGTGGTGGTGGTGGTGGTGGTGGTGGTGGTGGTGTCGCTCACACGTACGAGGTGGTCGGGGATCAAGTGGACCAGCTCGGGCATTCCCTCCATTTGCCAACTCAGGATTCCGTGCTCCTCCCGCTGCAGCCAAAAGAGAGAAGAGAAAGAGAGAATGAACATCAATGTCCTGTGTGGCGTGTGTATGTGATGGTGTGTGTGTCCTGTGTGTGTGTGTGTGTGTGTGTGTGTGTGTGTGTGTGTGTGTGTGTGGTGTGAAGCGCCAGCGTTGCTGATGTACATCGCGGCAGCAGCATGCGGACGCGTCCGACCACCGCGTATGGGCGTAAGTAGAATACGTGCCAGCTGATCGAGGGACATGCCTGCCCGCAATAGCGCCACCGCACGCGGCACCTGCCCGGTCAGCCCAAGGAGACATTGCGTGAGGAGAGAGTGGTCAACAACGAGCGGCCAGCCATGGCTGATTTGGTTGGTGCCCCTGGATGCGTACCGGCTCGTACGTGCAATCCACCATCACCAGCGGCACGGCCGGTGAGGAGAAGGAGGAGGCCGTGGACGATCTCGTGGCAGCGGCGGCGGTTGCGCCCTGGCTGCGCTTGCCAACCCGTCGGCGGAGGTTCCATTGGGCCGTCCTGCAAACACCATGTGGGGCGAATGCAACGCTGATGAGAAGAGCACTCCACGACAAGAACGAAAGCGTTCTTGTGGGGAGAGAGGGGGGGACGAGAGGAGATGTGGTGTGCGAGGCGGTGAACCTGAATAGCTCGCATCGGGAGTGGATGGGGTGGACGAGGGAGGAGACGAGGCCGGTAAGGCTCTCCTGCAGCCCGTCGTGGAGGCCAATCCAATAGGGCCAGTCCACGTCATCGGCACTGCTGGCCATGATGCGCTCAAAGTGCGCGTTGGCCGCCCCGTAGTCCCCGATCGTGTTCTGCACACCACGCCACGCACGCGCCTGGTCAGCATGACGTGGCAAGTCCATTAAATGCTCTTTTCGGCCTCGAGCGAGGAATTAAATCCTCACTCGGCGCGCGTGTATGGGCCGGGTGGGTACGGTGTGGAGGATCTGGAGGGCGAAGAGGAGGTAGCGGAGCGAGTGGACTATGTCTTTGCGCGGGTCCTCGCCCGACTTGGCCTGCTTGTCCTTGGCGATGTTGATGCGGCGGCGCGCCTCCCACGACACTCGCCGGTACAGGACGTCGGGGTCCACCACAACCGCCGCCCGCTTCATCGCCTCTTTGTCTTCTCTCCACCGCTGCGCGTCGTGCGTGCGTGCCAGCCACCAACGAGCGTGAGAGAGCGAGAAGCCACCGAATGCGAGGAATGCGCGCGTACGTGCTGAGGCGGGAGGAATGCACATTCCAGGGCGTCGTGCCGATGCTCCCACACCTGCGCGCCCCACCACGCACCAGGCTCTTCGATGATGAGCACACACGACGCCCACGGTGAAGTGGAGGGAGCCGGCGTACGGCCGTGATCCACTGGGGCAGGGAGTAGAACGACGCGTTGTAGTGTCCATCGTCGTACAGCGCGTAGGGACCCTCCACTCCCCCCGCCGCAGCATCAGACGGCGGCGTAGGAGACGAAGGCGAGGGCGTAGAGGAAGTGGTGGTGGAGGTGGTGATGCATACGACGTCCCAGTCGGAGGTGGGGCGTGCGGTACCGTACACCCGAGAACCCCACGCGTAGGCCCCGACCACCGCGGGCGATGCCAGGACTGACGGCCGGCTGCCAACCCACAGCCCCGACCCCTCCTGGTCCGCGGCCTGCAGTGCCGCCAGCAGACCCGCCCACGCGTGCTCCATTTTATTGTGTTTTATTTTCCTTTATTTTAATAGTCTCGTCTTTTAAGAGAGGAGTGCCACGTAGGCAGCCAAGCTTGGGAATTTCCGTTGCGAACCTCAGAGCACAAGCCACCGTTTCGTTGGTGGCCCCGCTCCCGGCACAACTCGATTGATCAATTGGAACGGCTCTACACAAAAATCGATCTAAATTGATTGAGCACGACATACAGCAAGTGATCTCTTGACCATCTCCCGAGCGAGTGAGTGGCCATGGCATCATGGCTTGCTGAGCGCTTCAACATCTTCTCGTCGCGCCTCACCGGGGGCGTGGAGGTGCTTGATGGGGGCGAAGATGACCCCGCCCCCGTGGAGGGGCTCGAAGAGGGGGCCGAGGGATCGCCTGTCCCGCATCGTTTCGTCAACGACTACGACCAACAAGACGAAGAAGGGCGCGGGCAGAGCGGGTCACCCCGCGACGGCGACGGCGACGACGGCTACGGCTACGGCAGCGGCAACGACGATGGTGCCGGCACGGGTAGTGGCGAGGAGGACGCGTCTGCCTCGGCCGAGCCGCCATCGCTCGACCCCGCCGACCAGCAGCAGGGCTCCGGCCAGCCGCGCCGCCGCAAGCGCCCACACCCCGCCGCCGTGAGCGACGACGCCTACCGTACACACCTCTCCTCCCCCTTTACCCTTCGTGGCGGTGGTGCACAGACCGTGTGCATTTATTGGCGTGCGCTGAGTGGTGGTGGTGCCCACGTGTCGCTCACACGGCACGCGCGGTTGGGTTGTGGTCGGCTGGGGATGGGGATGTGGCGGGGGACACAGTGCCGTCGTCGAGTGCGGCGAAGCACTACCGCATGCTCTTCTCGGGCGCAGAGGACGAGGACGTCGACGAGCTGCCCGAACTCGATCACTACTACCGCAGCAAAGCCGGTACACATCCTACACACTCTCTGCTCCTTCTCGCGGACAGCCACAATGATCGTGGTTGGGGCGAAAGGTGGATGGAAGGACTGCTCTGATGGTGCTGGCCTGACACACCACACGCACACACACAACACACAACACACACACACACACACACCACGCCTCGTGGCGACATTCGTGTGGTGTGACAATGCAGGGCTGGGGTCGCTGCTCACAATGCACACGACGCCCCAGTTCAGAGAAAAGTGGCTCACATGGAAGGGCTTCAAGAAGACCTTCCCCTACTACGTGCCCATCCTCATGTGGTGCGCTAACCCTCCTCGCCACATCACCTCGTTGGCCTCCTTGTTGTTCTTCTTGTTCAACACTCTCCGGCTTCTCGCAGCTCTAACAGTGGGTGGTGTGGATGGTGCACACCAGGCTCCCACGATACGAGTGGCGAAGCGATTTTGTGTACGACTTGGCTGCAGGCGCGGCCGTGTCGGCAATGATCGTGCCCCATTCCCTCGCCATGGCCATCCTCGCCGGCCTGCCGCCCGTCTACGGCCTCTACTCCTCTTGGGTCTGTTTCCCATGTTTTGTGTTTGTGTGTGTGTGTGTGTGTGTGTGTGTGTGTGTGTTGTTTGTTTGTTTGTTGTGTTGTTTGTTGGTGTTATTGTGGTGTGATGATGTGTGGAAAGAAGATGTGCCAAGTGCTCTGTCGTGCCGTGGCTAACGGTGTGGGACGTCGTCGTCGTCGGAGTAACAGATTACGGCACTGGTGTACATGATGATGGGCAACAGCCGACAGCTGTCTATCGGCCCCGATGCCGTGTCGGCCATCCTCCTCACCCACTCCTTCGAGAATTTCGACGGCGATGTCGACATCGTGGCCTTTGCGCATCTCTTCTCCCTCATAGTAAGCCCCCCGCCGCCGCCTTCGTTCTTTTTCCTGCGGGCTCGAGCTCACAAGGGCACTGACACCGGTGGCGGGTCTTCAAACACACACACACACACAGGTGGGCGTGTTTTTGTTTTCGCTGGGGTTGATGCGGTTCGGTTTCCTCGACATCCTCCTTTCGCGCCCCCTCCTCGCGGGCTTCATCAACGCCGTGGCCCTCATCATCTTCCTCGAGCAGGTAATCAACCCCTCTTCTTTTCGTCGCCGCCCCACAACTCTCACCGGGTCCCGGTGCTCACCCGGCTGACACATCGTGTGTCGTGTCGTGTCGTGTGCGTCGTGTCGGTGTCGCGTATGTACGCGAAGGTTGGACTGTTCCTGGGCATCCCCAATCCAGACGGGAAGAAGGACTGGGCCAAGCTCATCTACACCCTCGACAACATCGACCAAACCGAATGGCGCACTCTCCTCATCGGTATACTCCCCAACCCCCCCATATTGGACACACGCCGCGCGCGCTGACCAACGACGACGGCCGGTGGTGGTTGTTGTTGCGGGAACCATCCAGGAATCTGCACGCTGGGACTGTTGTTCCTGTTCCGAGGGATCAAGTGGCAGGCCAAGTACGTCAAGCGACGTCACCCGATCTTGGCCACCTGCATCAAGTTCATCCCCGTACCGCTCCCCCCGACCCCACTCCTTTCTATGATGATGGTGGTGGTGGTGGTGGCGATGATGATGAATTGTAATTATCCGGACGTATCGCTGATTGGTGTGAATGACTTTGAATTCCACATAGGACACGCTGATCGTGGTGCTGCTGGGCATCCTGATCGGGTGGTGGGGCGAAGTGGACAAGAAGGGCGTCGAGATCCTGGGCGAGATCAACAGCGAATTTCCGACGCCCATCTTCCCGCCGCGCGTGCTCGAGTCGCTCAAGGACTTCCAGAACTCCATCCAGCCCTCCATCATCATCGCCATCCTCGGGTTCATCGGTGCCTCACCACACCTGCTCTCGACCCGTCTCGCCAACCCGGTGGTGATGACGATGATAATGGCGAACTGACAATGTGTTGTGTGTTGTGTGTGCGTGTGCGCGTGCGCGTGTGTGACTGCGCAGAGTCGATCATCGTGGCCAAGTACTACGCGGGAAAGCACCACTACACCGTGTCGCCCAACCGCGAGCTGGTGGCGTTGGGCAGCGCCAACATGGTGGGCTCCTTCTTCCGCATCTTCCCCTCCTTCGGTTCTCTCGTCCGCAGTGCATTGGGTACGTTTGATCGTCAATTTAGTTTTATTATTATTACTTGAGTTATTTTGGTTTTTTGGTTTTGGTTTGGCCGATTACACATTAAAATGAAGAGTGATCATTAATTGCCCTTGCGATGTTGGTTGGGCGATGGTCGCAACAGCGGACATGGCGGGTGCGCGTACGCAGTTGTACAACTTCTTCGTGGCGATGGCGGTGCTGTTCACCATCCTCTTCCTGGACAGCCTCTTCTACTACTTGCCCAAGGTCGTGCTGGCCTCCATCATCATCGTGGCCGCCGTCGGTACCTCTTCCCCTTCCCCTTCCCCTTTGAAACCTTCCATCTTCCTCCATCCATCCATTGGGCTGAGCCTTCTCATTCTCCATTCTTGTTGTGCACCAGGCCTGGTCGAGTACGAGGACCTGGTCTTCCTGTGGAAGATCCGTGATCTCGGCGCCATCATCCTGCTCCTCGCCACCTTCTTCATCACCGGTACGCACTGTGCCCACCACCCACCACCACCCACCACCACCGTTGGCCACCTGTGCTGTGGAGCCTGACCAGGCGTTGACACGTGATGGGTGCAGTGGTGCTGGGCGTGGAGCTGGGCATCACCATTTCGCTGGCGATCTCGGTGCTGTGGATCATCAAGAAGACGTCCCTGCCCCACCTCGCCATCCTGGGCAAGATGCCCAACACCAACAAGTTCAAGGACATCTCCCAGTTCACCCAGGCCAAGCCCATCGAGGCACGCCACCTCCAGCCACCCACCCTCGTGTCTCCTCCTGCACCACGTCTGATGGGTGAGAGATGGCCATGGCCGATATCCTGTGTGTCGTGTGTGTCGTCTGTGTGTCGTGTGTGTGTCGTGTGTGTCGTGTGTGTGTTGTGTGCAGGGGGTGCTGCTGCTCAGGATCGAGGAGTCGCTGTACTTTGCCAACATCGGCAAGATCAAGGACATGTTCGCACGGATCGAGCGCTTCGGCTCCACCGACGCGGGCGCTTCCGAGCCCACCCTGCCTCCACTCCAGGTACTGCGCTCGTTGTTTCTTTTCTTTTTCTTTCTTTTCTTTTCTATTCTTCTTATTTGCTGTGTGCTCACCTGAGCGCGCGCACCCAGGCAATCATCATCGACGCGCGCAACATCCAGGATATGGATGCCAGGTGACTCGCCCTGCTCTCGCTTGTCTTACCTCGGACGGTGCATGTGTAGCGTAGCGTGTAGCGTAGCGTGTAGCGTAGCGTGTAGCGTGAGGTTGTGTTTGTTCTCTCTCTCTCTCTCTCCGTTTGTGCACCAAAACAGCGCGATCGCCACGCTCACGGACATGGTGGCCGACTACAAGCGACGCAACATCTACGTGGCCTTCGTGAAGCTGCGCGAGCCGCTCCTGGACCTGTTCCACAAGAGCGGTGTCATGGACCTGCTGGGCAAGAACTGCGTCTTCAACAAAGTCCGCGATGCCATCGCCGCGCTCAACGACACCCGCGTGTTCGATGAGGTGCGTCCGCGTCAGCTTTTGTCGTCGTCGTCGTTGCCCGAAGGGAAATTGTTATAGTTACTGTTTTCCTGACACTGACATGGCGTGGTGGTTCGTTGTTGTTGGGTGGCAGGACGACGAGGAGAAGGGTGCGGGCGGCGACGAGCTGGGCGACAGCGACTACGATGACCCGGCCGCGTGGGTGGGCTCCCACACCGACACTATGTCGGTGAGCGAGTTCGGGGCGGTCATGGACAGCATCCACCCGCCACCGGGCCACTACGACGACGCGGCGGGCAAGGGCAAGGAACGAGAGCAGGACGCGGCTCGCGGTGTCCATGACATGGAGCCTCCCCCCTCCTCCCCGCGCTTCGGCGGCGCTGGAGCGGGGGCAGCGCCCACCACCCTCGACTTCCGAGTGGAGGACCAACCCGTGCCAGGCCTGCGGCAGGAGCAGGAGGAGCAGGAGGGGGAACCGGCCGGCAATGACGTCGACCGCCGCCACCACCAGACCAGGCCCCACGTGGAGACCTTTGAGCCGGCCAACGACCCCTTCCTGCGAATGCCCGAGGACGAATCCGATGGCGAGCAAGAAGAAGAGGCGGAGGAGGGCTTCTTCCACCACCACCGCCACCACGAGGAGGAGGAGGAAGAGGCGGCGGGAGCGGCGGGAAGGCCCGGCAACGAGGAAGGCACCGATGACCACCTTCACGGAGGAGACCTTGATGAAGTGGACCTCTGAAGTCGCACCACCACCACAACAACGAACCATATATACCTCATGTCGCTGGACTGAAACGGGGAGTGATGGAGCGGATTCAAGCACATCGCGCCCATCATGATGGCGTGCTCATGAGCATGAGCAGTGTTCTTCTTACCCCAAAAAAATCTCTCTGTGTTGTCCTCTGTGCTGTGTGATGTATACAGTGGCGAGGGGGCCGTCATGGCGAAAGCTGTGGCCCAACGGTGCGGTGTGGGTTCGGTTTGTGCCGCCTCGCCACCTTCTCGAGGTGCGCGCCCGCGTGTCGCTACTAAACGCGTCGACGGGGGGCGTGCACTTAGTCTCTGCCTGGCGTGAACTTGATGCCGGAGGTCTCCTTGCCGATTTCTGGCGCGCAAGAGGAGGACGTGTGAGCAGGTGAAGGTTTGGCGCGAGGCTTTGGGTGGATGGGGGGGGGTGGAGTACCGGAGAGCTGGCAGGTGGGGCAGAGCTTGCCGGCGTGGGCGGGGAGGTAGTGGGTGTGGCAGTAGGGGCACTCGATGGAGGGGCGGTTCTTGTAGATGGGCGTGAAGGAGATGCCGCACACGACGAAGGGGTTGCGCTCGTCGTAGTTGAGGGTGTGGGCGTCGGTGTTGTTGGTCTCGGCGAACTTGATCACCTTCTTGGCCTCCTGCGCGATCTCCGGCTTGGGCGAGAGCTCGAGCAGGCGGGAGGCGAACGAGGCGGCGAGGTGGTAGCACTTGATGCGGTAGGCGGCCTTCATCGCCGAGCGCAGGGCGAGCATGCGGTGGATGGGCTGCAGGTTGCAGTGCGTGAAGTAGGCCGCCAGCTCCAGCGCCTCGATCTGGTTCTGGGCGGGCAGGGTCTTCTTGTGCAGCTCCATGCGCAGGCCCAGGATGTACTCGCGGCACAGGTCGCGCAGCTCCTCGACCTCCGTCCGCGCCTGCCTGGTCGGGGCGACGACGAAGACCAGCATGTGCAGCAGCGACGCGAAGGTGTCGAGGGCCTCGCCGAAGGCGCCCTTGGTGGTCGAGCGGTAGGCGGCCTTGAGCTGCTCGATGAGCAGGCCCACGTTGGTCCACAGGGCCGGCAGGCCGGCGCTCTGGCCCTCGACGATGCGCTCCAGGTTGGAGATCACCGCAGGCCCGAGGGGTCCGCTCGGGCTGGCGGCGTGGGCGCCCATCCAGAGGGCCATGAAGTGCGGGCGCAGCGGCGCAAAGTTGACGACGCCCACCTGCTGGTGGAGCAGCTCCATGGCGCTCTCGATGGACCCGGCCGCCGCGTGGTCGGCGGCGTGGCGCGAGTTCTTGGTCCACACCTGGCGCGCGTTCTGGCCCGGTCGCGGCGCGACAAAGAACGACTCGGACTTGGCCGGGACCAGGTCCACGCTGTCGAGGCCGTCGAGGCCGCCGTCGTCGTCCCAGCCGGCACCGCCGTCGTCCTCGTCGTTGCCGAGGTCGGCGGCGGGAGCGAGGCCCTCACCTTCGCCCTCCTCGCCGAGGTCGGCGCCGGTGTCGTCCCAGGCGCCGGCGGCCTCTTCGCCCTCGTCGTCGAGGTCGAGGCCGGGGGCGGCAGCGCGGATACCGCGGCCGGAGGAGTCGTCCATGGTCGAGGGGTCGAAGAAGCCCGGCGAGACGGTGAGCAGGGGCCAGTTGGAGTCGTGGTGGCGGAGGATCGGCGCGGGGGGCACCATCAGGCGCGTGGCCGACTCCTCGGGCACGGGGGCCAGGTTGCCGTCGAGCTTCTCGGCGAGGCGAGCGGCGTCCTCGGCGAGGCCGTGCGTGGCGGCGGTGGTGTAGGCGAGGCCGAACTGGCCGACCTCCTCGAGGATGCGCACGCGCTCGTGGACGTCGCCCAGGTAGAGGGCGTTGTGGAAGCGGCCCATGGTGTCGTTGCGCATCTCGGCGATCTTGAGCATCTTGTGTAGCTTCTCCACGTTGCCCGTGATGAGGTAGAGGAAGGAGAGCCGCTCAAAGTTCTTGGTGCGCTGGTAGGCCATCTCGACCACCTGGTGGTTGCCCTGGCGCAGGGCCTCGGTGCCCAGTCGGTGCCAGGCGTCCTTGTCGTCGAGCGCCTTGGCGCACGCCTGCGCCACCTCGATGTTGCCGCACTCCAGGGCCAGGTTGAACTTGGTCTTGTCGTCCTTGACAAAGTAGAGCGCCACCTCGGGGTAGCCCTTGCGCTGCAGGTAGGCGATGATGGCCTGGCCCACCAGGTTCGACTGGCCCGGCTTCACCATCTTGAGCACGTCGGCGTACCGCCTGTGCGCCAGCGCCATCTTGAAGGCGTACTCCGTCGGGTCGATCAGCACCACGCGATTACGGCCCTCGCGGTCCAGGCAGTGCACCTGCGCAAGGAATCGCGTCAGTCGGTGTATTACTATTGTTGTTATTTTAGTGGTTTTAGTGGTTGTAGGGGGGGATAGTAGTAGTTGTAGTACCTGGTTGCCACGGACGCCGGTCACGTAGATGGGCACGTCGAGGGTGCGCACGATGCCGTGCTCGCCGTCGCGGAGGCAGTACTTCATGTGGGACACGGTGGTGTAGAGGAAGACGCCGCTCTCCTCCCAGGCACCGCTCTTGATGCGCATGGTCTCGTGGATGATGCACTCCTGCTCGAGCTTGCGGGTGGCGAGCACGAGCGTGTCCTTGCCGAGGAGGGCGACGTGGGCGCCCTTGTCGTCCCAGATGACGTACTTGATGTTGGGCGCGGTGAGCTCGGCGACAGCGCGCTTCTGCTGGAGGTCGTAGAGGATGATCTTGTCCTCGGCGCGGAGGAGGAGGGAGCCGAGGCCGGCGGCGAAGATCATGTCGGTGCCCGGGGGCATGGGCAGGCGCTTGACGGTCTCGCACTTGAGGTTCTTGAGGTGCAGCTGGCCGGCCTTGGCGTCGAGGGCGGCGAAGCGGTTGCGCTTGATGAAGACGGCCGAGTTGGCGGCGCCCTTCTTGGACTCGACCGAGTCGGCCGAGCGTCCGTCGGCGGGGAGCTTGTAGAACTCGTACGTGCCACCGTCGGCGTCCGAGTAGAGGAGGACGGCCTTCTCGGCGGGGTTGTAGGAGAGCGAGCGAGGCGACTTGGCCACCGCGCGCCGAATGGACATGACGGGCACGTCGCGGGCCGAGGCGAAATCGTAGGTGCGCAGATAGCGCTCCTTGACGTAGAACAGCGCCCCCTTGTGCGCTACGTAGGCGGGCCGTTCCCGCTCGAGCTTGAACACGATCAAGCCCGAATCGTGACCCGCGGCGAAGAGGTTGTTCTCGGGGTGCGCTGCGATGATCCAGAAGCGGTCGTGCTCCCTGCGGAAGGTCTGCACCGCCGAGCGCTTGGACATGTCCCACACGCGGATGGTCTTGTCCTCCGAGTTACTCAGGATGAGCTCCTGGTGCGGATGGAAGATCACGCACGACACGTTGTTGTAGTGCCCGCGCAGCGTGTCCACCTCCCACGCCTTCGTGTCTACATGCGTGCACGATCACAGCAAGCGGGGGCACGCGCACCACGTCGAGGAAGAAGAACAAACAAATATTACAAGTGTAAGTAAACGCGCGCACTGAGGAAGAACGAGAGAAAGCGATCCTCGCGGAGCTGTTATCAGCACCCCCAGGCGTGCTGATGTGCGCCATGACGACAAAGCGCATGCGAGGGAAAGCGGTAGAAGAAGAAGGAGAAGCGTCCAACGTACCGTTCATTCGCCAGAGCTTGACCGAGCGATCATCGGCGCCCGAAACGATGAGGGGCAGAGAGGGGTGGAAGGCGGCCCAGTTAACGCCCCTGTCGTGGCCCTCGAGCACGTACTTGACCACCACGTTGGGGTTGCCGAAAAGATCGTTCTGTGCGAGACGGAGCGGGTCGTCAAGTCCTCCCGTGGGCGAAACGTTCTTCTTCTTCAGACCTGCGGCAGGAAGAGGGGGGGATTAGAATTGAGAGAGAGGGAAAGTGTCGCGGGCCTGGAGGGAATGCCTTACCAGAAATGTCCCAGATGCGAACAGTCTGATCAAGCGAGGCGGAGACGACGAGATCCTCCTTGGGGTGGAAGTAGGCGCTCATAACGTAGTGGTTGTGGCCAGTGAGTACGGCGATGCAGGTACGGGACTGCCAATTCCAGATTCTGATCGTCTGATCGTCGGACGCGCTCAGAATCCAGGGGTATTCATGGTGGAATTGGACTGTGCGGATGTAGTCCATGTGCCCGAGCAGAGTGAAGAGACAGCGCCGCAGCTTGTAGTTCCACACCTTGATCTTGTAGTCATCGCCGCCTGACACGAAGAGAGGCTGTGTAGCGTGGAAGCTGATTCCCCTCACGGGGCCTGCCAGAGCAAACAACATCACTCAGTGAGCGGCGGCGCGGCAGGATTGGGCCGTGGGGTGGAGTCGCGAACCATCATGCTCATCGAATCGATCCAAAAGAGTTCTGATGCGGTAATCCCACAATTGAATGAGGCCATTATGGAGGGAGGCAAGAATCCAGGGCCTCTTGGGGTGAAAGCTCAAGCCCTTCACTCGATTGCTCTTCGTTTCGAGCTTTGTTAGCATTCTCGACACTCAGAAATGCGTCTTCTTCCACCGCAACGCGTGTCGTCTTGCTGCCTTCGTTGTGGGCTCTTCTTTTCTTTTGGAGCAATGTCGGACGTGGCACATTCCAACCAGTAATTTGACAAAAATGCTGCGGATAGTTCAAAATTTTCCAGATACTGGTGAAATTTGCAAGTGAAAATAAAAATATATATAAATTTGCCTTTCGTTTGGACAATAAAATACCAGGCAGCGAGATGGAGGCGGACATGGAAGCAGCAAACGCTGCTGGCGCCTGCCCCTCCGGCGTGCCTCTTCCGCCCCTTGACCACTTCCACCTGTACCCTCATCCCCATTTTGCCTCAGCCCTGAAACGCGTTGCTGACTGTGGATGCCCGGGGGGGGTTACATCCACCAGGGAGGAGTTGCGTACGTCTGCGTTCGCACTTTACGAGAGCAGCTCCCCGTTCGCTGCCGACCTCAAGCGCTCCGGCACCAAGGCCACCAAGGAGAAAGAGAAGGAGCGCGACCACCCGAGAGACCACGAGTCGCCCGACGTGGCCAAAGTGCGCAACTTTCTTCTTTTTTTGCCCCCCCCCCACAAACCACCACAATAGGCAGCCGCAGCAGCAGCGGCACCGTGCAGTTCTGATGGGTGGCGCATGAACGGGGGCGTTTCTCCTATTTTTTGAAAAACAAATGGGGCTGCGATGACCAGGCGGTGGAGATAGGGCGCCGGGCAGAGACCAACCTGGGGCTGGAGCTCCGTTCTGATGGCGAGGTCCCTCGCTTCCCCTCCCGCCCCGCCAAGGTACGGCCCTTTGGCTTTGGTGCGTTGATGCGTTGGTGCGGTGGCCATTGACTCGGCTCCTTCCCACGTCCGTCGTCTCGTTGGTCGTTGTGTCGCAGCCGGCCAATACTCCGCTCGCACTCCGGCTGGTGGAGGGAGTGCATGTGCACCTGCTTCCGCTGCTCGCCTCCGTCTCTCCGGAGGTACGCAACCGAGCCACCGCATGCGGCCCTCGAGGGCACCTTCACCCATCCGCCTTGTGCATGCACGGCTCGCGGAGAGCGCGTGCACGGCTGACCGTGTGGTATCGCCGTGGTGTGGTGATGTCGTGGTAATGGTGGCTGCGTGGTGGTGGCTGCGTGGTGCAGGTGTGCCTGAGGGTGGCAAACAAATACGGCAAGGCCACCAGACGCATGCTCGACGGCCGCGCAACGGCGGAGCTGAGCCAGACCGTGGACGACCTGCTGGACTACCTGCTCGTGCGCGCCTCTCCCTCTCCCCTATCGGGTGGCGATTGCACTTCCATGTCTGCTCACCGTCGTGTTCTTTCACTTTCACCCTCCCCCCCCACAATGTCGCGCTTGGGCTGGGAGCAGAGAGAAGCAACCAGCCCAGAGCCCACGGCGCGGGCCTGCGCGCTGGCCATCATCCTCTCCCGCATCTCGGCCCAGTGGGTACGGCGCACCTCGCGTCCTCGCTCCCGCCCTTCCTCTCTCGTGTGTAACGACGACGCCACCCCACCACCTCCACCTCCACTGCTCTTTCCCACTGCAGACGGCGTACAACCTCAAGTTTCGGCGCAGTAGTGGCGCGTCGGCGGTCAAGGGCACCACGGAACTGCTGACCCTGTGCCGGCAGGTGTACCTGCCCCTCATCGAACACCTCGCCTCCATGCATCGCTCCCTCGCCATCCGCGTACGTGTCCCCCGCAAATCTCCCCAGCTACGTGTTTTCTTACCTTTTCTTTTTCTTCTTCTTTTCTCTTGGGGGGGGGGCTTGCGCGGGTGCAGTTGCTGGGCGATCTGTCCCTGTTGCTGGAGGCGCCCACTTTCACGCGCAAAGCCGCTGCGGAGGACCCGTCTCTCGACCTCCTCATTGCCCATCTCACCAAACTTCTCGACACGCCCGACTCACGTACGCCATTACCGTCAACATCATCACTCCCATCCCCCGTACCCCGTCACGTGGTGGTGATGGTGATGTTTGCTGATCATCGCGGTCCGTACGTGGGCTCGTGGCTACAAGCAGATGTGCACAGTCTGGCTCTCACGAGCATGCTGCGACTGACGGCCGCGCGCGGGTCGCTGAAGGGCGTGCTTGCCCTCCTCTACATGCTGCTCACCGAGCCACGCTTCGCCGAGGCGAGCTACGACGCCACCATCGACATCGAGGCCGTCCTGCAGACCTTCGCCCGTGCCATGCCCCCTTCCTTCTCCTCGCTGGACCCCGCCTGTACCAACCCCCCCCCATCAACCCTCTTCGTTCTTCGTTCTTCTTCGTTCTTCTTCTTCTTCTTCTTCTTCTTCTTGCGTTTTCCTCTCGTCCCACGATTCGGCTCACCCCCCCCCTCGTGGCCTGCGCAGCGGATGGTTTCACCAAAATGGCCCACGTGGTCACCCGGGCCAAGGCAGCGGCCGCGGTGGCCTTCGACGGGCAGTACCTCTACGTGCACCACGGCGCGTCCCCCACCAGCGAGCTCCTCAAGGTCGGCACCGGCCACCGAGGTACGCCCCCCCCCGCCCCAATGGCCAGCAAACATCAGTGGTCGCCAATGACGTCGTTGGGGGGGGGGTTCGCGCTGGCAGGCACGGTGCTCAACCACGTCTACGCCCGCAGCAGCGGGGTGCCGGAGGTGCAGGCCTCGTCCGCGGGCGTCCACATGGCCGTGGTCGACGGCCGGCTCTACTTCCGGTCCCCTCAGTTCGTGGAGCCCCTGTGCCTTCTCGTCTTCGACGCGGACACCCTCCAGCTACGCGACAGGTAATTATTCTTTCTTCGCACCCCAACCACCACCCACCTCTCATCATGGCGGTGGTGATGGTGGTGGTTCAACATTTATATATGAATATTTATAATTAAATGTCTTATGTTTGGTATCTAAACCCACAGAGTGCACCACGATGGCACGGGTTCGATTGCCACGGAGGACAACCGCGCGTGGGGCCTCGCCTCGTACGGACCCATCGCCGCATGCGGGCAACTCCTCTACCACATCCACACCACCCGTACGAGCCACCACCCCCTTCTCGCTCGCTTTGCTCCCTTATGCGACCAGAAGCGCGCTCACCCCTGATGAACGACGGGCAGGGCCTGCCGAGGAGCAGCGGCAGCAGCAGGAGTCCTCCACCATGGACCTGGAGAGCGCGGAGCCTTCGCAGAAGCAGAAGCGCGCGCAGTGGCTGGTGGACGTGTACCAGACGCCGGGCATGCAGCACGTGCGCCGCGTCGCGTTGGCCATGCAGCCGCCGCCCACCCACCAGTACCCGCTGTTCCGCCCCGCCCCGCAGAACGCCAGCTTCAAGCAGCCCTTCGAGCCCACCCCGGTGCGGCCCTTCAGCCATCCCTTCGCTCATCTCCATCTTCACTTCCACCACCTCCCGTTCTCTGCCTCATCACGAACCAACACCATTATTTGTGTGTGTGTGTGTGTGTGTGTGTGTGTGTGTGTGTGTGTGTGTGTGTGTGTGTGTGTGTGTGTGTGTGTGTGTGTGTGGTGCGTGCAGCACCCGGACAAGGCCAATGGCCTGGGGGGCATGTTCGAGGTGATCACCGCCATGCCCCGCTACCAGGCCTTCTCCTTCGAGGAGCTCCGCTGGGAGGCCACCTCCCACCTACGCGCTCCCGTGGACACCACCCGTACGCGCACTTCTCTATCTTATCTATCTATCTTATCTACATGGCTGGCCTGACGCCTACGCCGGCGTTCTCTTCTCTCTCTCTCTCTCTCGTTCTCTCTGGTGTGGTGTGGTGTGGTGTGTGGTGACGCAGAGGTGGACGAGGCGATCTTGGCGGACGGACACTTCTTCGTGGAGCAGGAGGGGGCGCGGCTCGTCATCCATCTCCCCTCGCCCACCACCTCCCACGTACCCCCCCCTCTCCTCCCCACCCCACCAATCGACCGACCCCCCGCGGCGGCGGAGTATCCATCACTATTCGCGCAGCACTCGACTGATAGATGGGAAACATACCACACGCGGTGGCTGGCGGGTGGTGGGTGGTGGTTAATGCAGTCGGTGTACCGGTGCGTGGACCTGGCTGAGGGGTCCGTTGTCGCCGACCTCATGTTCGAGCGCGCCTCCACCACGCGCCCCAGCCTCATCGGTGCGCACATTCCCCTCCCCCCCATCATTGCCCAAACAATGCAACTCACGTGCCTGGCACCCATGCTATCTCTTCACGATAGACTACGCCGGGTGGCCGTGCCTGTCGCACCCGGAGGTGGTGCTGGCCTCGCCGGCACTCCACAAGGGCGCCCTCCGTCTGCCTCGCGCCGTCCTCTCCACCTTTGCCGTCCTCGACAAGCTCGCCTTCGACACGTAGGGCTCCATCTCTCACCCCCACCCCACCCCCCACTCACATACGTGGCCCAGTTCGAGTAACCTTCCCCTCCCCCTTCATGATATCGCGGCAGCCTCCACCACGACAGCGTGCCGGCCATGGCCGGCAACGAGGAGGTCTTCCTGGCCTACGAGACGGTCACGTGCATGAGTGTCGAGACCTCGCGCACGCTGTGCCTGCTCCTCAAGCTCCTGGCCGACGACCTGTTCGGCCGCGAGGCCGGCCCCTCGCCCCCCGCGGAGGGCCTCTCCCTGCGCGACCTCTACCACTACAAGTCACCCGCCCTACGCCCGGCCCACGGTGCCCCTCCACCTCTTCTCCTGTGTCGTTGGTCTCTCTCTCTCTCTCTCTCTCTGTGTGTGTGTGTGTGTGGTGTGTCGTTGGTCGCCCGACTGGAGCGAGAGTGGCTTACCGGCACCTGACATGGTCGTTGCGATCTTGGCAGAGCCCGCGGCGGGCGTGGCCGAGTGGGGCTGCGTGGCGTGCACCTACCTCAACGTGCCCGCGAATTCGGCCTGCGAGATGTGCAACACGCCGCGCCCTCCGACGACCAGCACCGCGGCCGCTACGAACGCGAGTGCCGCCAAGAGCGAGGCCATGGACGAGGACAAGGCGGGCGCAGACGGCCAAACAACGGAGCTGCAGTCGCCACACGCAGCCGCAGCCGCAGAAGAGGCAAAGGGAGATGCTGATGCTGGTGGTGAAGAAGGGAAGGCGCGTCAGGAGGAGCCCAGCCTGGGCCTCGCTCGGCATCTGGAGCCGGCCGAGAAGCTGTACCTGGCCCTCGCCCTCTCCCGCATCCTGCGGGCCAACCTGGCCTCGTGCCTGCGGCGCGATCTCGCCTTCGACGTGCTCGGTCTCGACACCCTCCGCGACACTGAGGGCTCGCCCCAGTTGGCGCTCCAGCTGCTGCGCACCCTCTACCGCTTCGCCGAGGCCTACGAGCGCAGCAGCAGCGGCGGTGCATCGGAGGAGGACCACCACCGCCGCAGCCGCCTGCCGCGGGACCTCCTCCACGCGGTGGGCCGCCAGATGGCCGAAACGGCGGCCATCCTCCTCCAGACCGAGTTCCGCCCCGCCACCGCCGCCCTCCTCCTCGACCTCCTCCGCCCCTCTTCGTCTTCTTCCTCCTTCTCCTCCTCGTCTCCGTCCGCTGCGGCGACGCAGGCCGAGGCGGGCGCACACTCGCTGCTGCTCACCATGTTCCTCGCCGATGCCTGCAGCACCAGCCTCAGTGCCCTCGACGCCACCCTCTTCGCGTGCCCCGCGGCCCCTCCCGCGGCTGCGACGACCGCCACCGCCACGATTGGCGACTGCGATTTCCGCCGGCCGCTCCAAGCGCGGGCCCAGAACGCGGACGACGCAGAGAACACCGTTGACCGCGCCGCCGACGCCGGGCTGGTGGTGGCGGTGGGCAGCGACAGCCGGCCACCACCGGCGGCCTCGGCCCTCTCCCCAACTCAGCAGCCGCAGCCGCCGGCGGCCCGCAGGCGTCTCAGTCGGGGTGGCGCCACCGCGGGCGACCACATGCAGACCGAAGGCGACAACAAGGAAGAGGCCGAAGAGGCGGAAGAGGCCGCGGGCGCCAGCAGCAACGGCAGCAACAGCAACGCGGTGGTGGAGGCCGCCCTCACTCTGCTGGCGCGCGACATGGAGCGGGCCGTGCCCCCTACCACGCCCGAGGCCGCGTGCCTCTGGTCGCCCGTGGGACCCGAGTTGCTCAGCCTGCAGTTCCTCAAGCTCTACCAGCACCGGGCGCTCACCGCCCTCGCCCTGCCCCCTCGGGCTGCTGCCACCGCGACCGCCGCCGACGCCGCCACCACCGCACCAGCAGCGGTGGCCCCACCGTCGGCCTCGCTCGCCTACTTTGCCTTCTACGGGTCCCACCCGACAGAGCCCGCGACGGCGGCCGCGGCGGCGACGACGCCCCACAACGAGTGGGACCTCCCGCGGGACGACGCCGCCCGGCTGAAGGTGGAGGCCGAGCTGCACCACTACCTGCGGCGCCTCCTCGCCCTCTCCCTGGCCTCCCTCTCGGCCCTCGCCGCCTCGCTTCCGGCGCCCGAGGCTGAAGAGGACCCCCCGGCCGAGGCGCGCCGCGTCCACCACGCCGTGGCCGCCATGCACGCGACGGCCACGGGGCAGCTGCTGCTCCCCTTCCTGCGCCTGGCCTCGCGCAAGCAGCTCGCCTGCCCGCTCTTCCTCAAACCCCTCTCCACCCTCCTGCGCCCGCTGCGCGCCCTGCACGCCTTCCTCCTCCGGTACCGCCATCATCACCATCACCATCATCATCATCATTCCTCGCCATCTTCTTCTGGGGATTCGTCTCGTGTTTATGTGCGACCGTGTGAAGCGGGTCACTCACGCTTCTTCTTCTTTCTCTCTCTCTCTCTCTCTCGCATTGAACGTGCCAGGCACTGCACCAACGAACCGGGCTTTGGGGATACCAGCGGCTTCCTCGCCTCCCTCACCACAGCGGCCGCCAAGATGATCGCCGCCGTACACCTCCTCCCCCCTTGTCGTGATTATTATTTATTTGTCATTTAATATTTAATATTTACTATTTCTTTTATCACGCTGGGCAGGGCATCGAGCATCTGGCGGCGGGTGACGAGCCCTCGGCGCAAGAGCAGGCCTTGGCCGAGTGGTTGGAGGCCGACATCTTCGCCGGCGGACTTCCCCTCACCCCGCCACCGGCCACCACGGCCGGCCTCAGCCCCGCCCGGCTCTTCCTCGCCCTCTTCGTTGGTACGCACCGCACCACGCCAACCCCCCCCCGGCGCACTGGCTGGCCTGCCTTGTTGGGTGCTGACGGTGGCGGCTGCGGCGGCGATGGCGGCTGTGTCACACAGGGGCGGCCCGGCCCGCACCCGACGAGGTCGGTCCCACGAAACCGGCGACGGAGGTGGCCCTGTGGCTCGAGGAGGCCCTGCGCGCCAGGCCCCTCGGTCGGCGTGGTGGCCCCACCGTAGATCGACTGCTCCGGTACTTGATCTGCCCCTCCCCCCAATGAATTCGCCAGTGGTTTTCGTGTGAATGACGATTGGTTGGTTGATTGATTGTTGATTGGCGGTTTAGGGCGGTGACGGCGGCCCTGCTGTGGCACATGGGTCTGGTGGGCGATGCGCTGACCATGGGCCACTACCTGACCACCGTGGGCCGCTCCTCTCCAAAGCCCGCGTCCCTTTCCGCGCGCCTCCAGCAGGCCCTCGACACCGCCTACTCGGTAAGCTCCCTCCCCCTCCCGCCGCTGCTGCCGCGTCGTAGCGGACGTGGTCATCGTAGTCGTAGCTAACGCGCGAGCACGCCTTGTGTGTGTTGTGTGGCGTGAGCAGGTGCGGGTGTGGGTGCTGCAGCAGGTGCAGGAGCGCAAGGGTGACGACGACGCCGCGGCCGAACACTTTGCCGACGCGCTCATGCGTAAGATCGAGTTCCTCATGGAACTCACCCCCGCGCTGCACGAGCACAAATCGGAGGCCGGGCTCCTCCTCCTCCTCAACGACCACGCCCCGCCGACCCCTGCTACCACCGCCGCTCCCGCTCCCGCCGCAGGCGCAGCCGCGACCGGCGGTGCCGCTGCTTCGGGGGCGACGCGGGCGGGCCAACTCGCCTCGTTCCGCTTCCAGACTTCGATCGCTCTCCCCACAACACAGCCCTCCCCTCCCCTCTCACGCAAGCCCCAGCCCCAGCCCCAGCCCCAGCCCCAGCCGCCGCCGCAGCAGCAGGAGCAGCAGCAGGAGCAGGAGCAGCAGCAGGACAGTGAGCCCGCCAGCAGCGCGGGCGGCGGTGAGGGCCGGTCCAGAGGAGGCGCGAGGAGGCGGGGCCTCATGGGACGCCTCAATTCGTCGGGCGACGGGTTCTCCTACCCGCGCCGGCAGGCGAGCAAGCGGAAGCGGGGCGCGGCCCCCGCGGGGTCGTCGGGCAGCAGCAGCACCACCACCACTACCTCCTCCGCCGCCGCTGCCGGCTCCTCGCAGGGCGGGGAGGGGGCCGCTGCCGAGCTCCGTCCGCGCCCCTTCCTCCAGTCCCTGCTCCTCAGCCGCTCCACCTCCGTCGACAGCCTCGGCAGTATGCGCACCCCTGACCCCACCGACTCTGCGATGTCACTCACACTGAGCCGTGTGTCGTGTCGTGTCGTGTCGTGTCGTGCGGCCACGCGTGCAGAGTGGGCGCAGGAGCGGCAGTCCAAGGAGAAGGCCGAGAAGACGCTCCAGGCCATTTACTACAAGTGGAAGACCTTTCGCGAGAAGATCATCCTCCCATCGGCCAAGGCCTCCTTATCGTCATCGTCATCGTCGGCGTTGTCCGCGGCCGACTCGCCCCTGGCCTCGCTCGACAAGCAGGTGGCCAACTTCCTCCAGGACGACGCCGTCGACGTCGACGCCCTCCGCCAGTGCCTGCAGCAGCGACAAGTCCGGTACGCTCGCTCACGCCGTGGTTTTATTTATTGTTTTGTTATTGTAATTTATTTTAAAAATTATTATTTGCAGGGCGCGTGGACGCGAGCGGGCGCTGAGGCTCGTGTGCTCCATGCTCGATTCCCCGCCGGGAGAAGGCGAGCCGTCCGAGCACCGCGAGATGGCCCTGCACCACCTCTACCGCGCCTTGTGGTGCCATCCCGCCCCCGCCCCCGTGGTGATGGTGCACCACCGCAACGTGCTCGTACGGACAGGCTGCAGCCACAACCCCATTCCTCTGTGCCTGCCTGCCTGCCTGGTGGTGGTGCTGACCTGTTTTTCCATCTGCGCGCGCACGCTCACTCGTGGAATGGTGCATGGCTGCCCTGCCCCAACGCGCAACAGGGAGCCGGCCAGTCCTTGCTGGGCGCCATCAATGCGCAGATGGAGCGCCTCAGCGTGCGCCTGGTGGGTCTCATCACCCGCCATGCCGCCTCCCCGTACGACACACACGACACACACGACACACACGACACACACGACACACACGACACACACGACGCACACGACGCACACGACACGACACACACGGCATTTGGGGTCGTCGTCGCCAACGCAAAAGCGGGTGTGTCGTGTTCGTGCGTGCGTGGGTGCGTGCAACCCGCTGTAAGCAGGTCAACGTTGGACGTGCACTCGCTGCCTCTGTTGCTGCTGGCCCTCTGCTACGCCGGGCGGCTGTTCGACGGGTGGGCCGCGCCCATGGCCAGGCTGTTGCCCTCGGCGCTGGCCGCCCTCGAGAGCTTGCGGGTGCACCCGGGCGACCGCCCCGCGCTGCCCCCGGCGCCGTCGCTGCGGACCGTCCGGGCGGTGGCGTGCCGCACGCTCCGGCTGCTCATCGGACAGGCCAGCGAGTTGGAGCCCCCGTCGCCCGCCGACAACCCGGAGCAGGCGGGCCTCCTCCTGGGCCTCGTGCGCTTCGCCTTCGACGCCCTCACCCGCGCCCTCCAGGCCTACCTCTCCTGGATCCACCTCAACGCCCTCTCTTCTTCTACTTCTTCTTCTTCCTTCTCCTCCTCGGCGTCGTCGTCCTCCATCGCCGCTTCCGTCACTCGACCATGGGTACCCTACCCTACTACTCCCCCATTTGTTAGCTATTTCCATCTATCTATCTATCTATCTATCTATCTATCTAATCTATCTATCTATCTATCTATCTAATTAGACACGCCCGTCTCAACCCCCTCTGCGTGTGACACAGGTGGCACGCGTGTCGGCGGGCGAGGAGGAAGAGGGCGTCGAGGCGTGGCATCATCGGGACCTGAGCCGGGAGCAGGTGGAGCAATGGGCCGAGAAGCGCGAGGCCGCTCTGGAGGCGCTCGAGTGGGTGCGCACGCTCGCACTCGCCGAGCCGGTCTTCTCCTCGTGCGCGCAGTCGGTCCTCAGCCCCGACCCGGCCCCGCTCATGGAGTGCCTCGTGGGGGCGGCGCGGCGCGGCACCCCCGACATGGCCTCCCTCGCACTCGCCCTCCTCCCTCGCCTGCTTCGCTTCGTACCCCCTTCCGCCATTCGCCCGCTCGGCCCCCCCGGCGGCGCCGCGAGCGAGCCCATGATGGGGCGCGCCGAGGAGAGCCCTAAGAAAAAAGAGGAGGACGAGGTGCCACCCGTAGCTGTCGTGCTGCTGGAGGCCATCGGGTGTCCGCTCCCCTACCTCCCCACGCGCCTTCCCTCCCTCTCCGCCGACTTGCGCAGCTTCTACGACTACCGGCCTTCCATTCGTGGCGATGGTGGTACGTGCGTGCGCGCGTGCGCGTGCGGTGTGTTTTTGTGTGTTTTCTGGTGTGCCGGCGCGCCTCGATGGTCTCCCTTCCAGCAGCTGACCAGCCTCATGCATTCGAACGCAGCTGTCCCTGCCCAGCAGCCGGCGTCGCATCAAGGGTCCAAGTCGCCCTCCTATTCACCCTCGTCGCCCTCTTACTCGCCCAATCGTCGCCTTCCTACTCGCCCTCGTCGCCCTCTTACTCGCCCAAGTCGCCCGCCTATTCGCCGTCACCGTTGCTTACCACTCTGGAGCCTCCACCGCCCCAGGTCTTCAACTTCGTACGTCCGCCCCGCCCCGCCCCCCGCCTGCGCTCGCGTGCTTGCCATACGTCCCGTTTTCGTCTAAAACAATGACTCTCGTGACTGATTGGTGGGCGGTGGTGGTGGGGCGTGCAATGCAGGGAGGCGCCGGCCCGGTGGCTGCGGGCGCCCGAGGAGGAGGCGCAGGGGGCGGAAGCGGGTTCGGTGGGACCGCGGCGTGCGGGTGGGCGTTCCCCCATCGCGCCTTCCGCTCCGCCCTGCGCTACCATCCGCCCCCCTCCACCTTCGCGCTCCTCACCAACGAGCGTACTTACCACCCCGCCCAATTCCCTCAATTTCGCGGGCTCCACCCACCCACCCACCATTGACCCATTTCAACCCCCCTCCCCGCCCCGCCCCACCACCGTGTATCGATGCTATTCCATGTTGGCCGGCAGTGGCGCGCGTGGTGCGTCAGTTGTGCTCGCCCTCGGTACCCGCGTGGAGTGGCGTCCTGCGGGAGGCCGTGCGGGCTGCCATCCTCGATCTACCGCGCCTCGTCGATGACCTCTGCCTCGTCCCCGCCTCCTCCGATGATCCGGCGGCGGAAGCGGCCCACATCAATTCTCCCGCTTTCCACCGGTACCCACCCCCAACCACCACCACATTGGGGGGGGGGCATTACATCTCATCTCAACCTCTCTCACGCACCGCCCACCATCACTGCCACCCGCCAGGCGGCTGTGGCAGGCCTTCGGCGCCCTCTCGGTGGTGGGGGGACCTCGCGGCCTCGCCCCCGGCGCTCGCGTGCGGCTGCGCGAACCCGACGGCGTTGACTCCACCCTCGCACCTCAGGTCGCCCCCCCCCCGGCGCTACTGTGTGTCGTGTGTCGTGTTGTGTGTGTTAATCGTAGGTTGTGTGTTTTTGCAATCTTGGTTGCGGGTGCGTGCGGGGCCTGCTGGCGTGAGCAGGCAAGGGGCGGCACCATTGTGGGCCGGTCCGCCGGCGGCAAGTGGCTCGTGGAGTGGTCTTCGTCTCCCACGGACGCCCGCCCCCGCTGCGAAGTGCTCGCCGACACTGACCTCCTGCTGGTCGAGGTCAACTCCCCCCTCTCCTCTCTTGCCCCCAAGCCCAAGCCCTCCCTGCAACGACGCTGACATACTCTCTCTCTCTCTCCCACTTCTCTCCCTCTCGTGTGTGTGTGTGTGTGTGTGTGTGTGTGTGTGTGTGTGTGTGTGTGTGTGTCGTGGTGTGTGTGTCGTGTGTGTGTCGTGTGTAGGACAATGCGCTGTGGGCGTGGGATATGGACGAGGAGCTGATCGCGGCTCTCTCGGTGTTCGTCCGCACGGGGCGCTCCCACCTGGACGCGTCCTCTTCTGGGCCTGCCCCGTGGTGGTCGCTGGTGTGGCGCCAGCTGCGCTCGCTCTCCCTCCGCGCCCTCCGCGTGTGGGGCGCCACTGCAGCAGCCGCAGCATCTGTGTCTCCCCGCCCAGACGCGCCGTCGGAGGCTACAACGGCGCCGCGAATGAAGGGCGGCGTCGTGCGCGAGCTCGTACGAGCCACCCTCGACCACGCCTCGCGTCGCGTCAACACCACCTCCGCCGCCGGCGCTGCGGCGGGCGGGCCGAAGCGCGGGCCGCTGCGAGAGCGCGTGGCGGGCATGGAGGCCGAGGAGTGGGAGCTGGAGCTGAGCCGGGTGCACGCCGACCTGTTCGAGCTGGGCGGGCCGGGCGGGCGCGAATGGAGCGCGTGGCTGCCCTTCCACCCGCTCGGGCGTGGCGCGACCCCTGCTGCGCCTGCCGTGCGGGTGGGCCAGCGACACGTTCGTCGTGTCCGACGGCGGGCTGCGCGTGAAGGAGTGCGGGACCAACATGGCCATCTTCTCCCTCCCCGACCACGACGACGCGCCCCTGCCCCTGCCCGACCTCCAGCCCGCCTGCGTGCTGGCCCGCCACCCGATCCCTGTGGATGACCTGCCGGCCTTCTACTTTGAGGTGGCCGTGCGCGAGGAGGGCGCCCACCCGCACCTCCTCGAATTCGGCCTCGGCCTCGTGCGCCGAGTTAGCTTTTCTTCGGCCTCTTCGGCCTCGGCCTTCTCCACGGCCTCTTCGCGCCGCCTCGTGGAGGCCTTCGTGACGTGGCGAGCCACGGGCTTCCGCGCGACGGCCTCGATCGCCCCCGCTGTGGTAGCCACCCCTGCCGCAGCTCCGTCTCCGTCGTTGAGTGGCGCCGGCGCTTCTTCAGCCGACGTCGGCGTCACGCAACCGGCGACCGACGCCATGGACGTGACGGCTCCGGAGCACAGCGACGGAAACGAGGAGGCCGCAAGCTTGCCCTCCACCTCCGACGGAGGAGCCGGAGCCGGAGCGGAGAGCAGTGAACCGCCGCCGCCGCCGCCGCCGGTGGTGGCAGAGGTGGTGGTGGCGGAAGGTGAGAGGAAGCTGACGGTGGAGAAGGAGCTGTTCAGCCTGCCCTTCCGCCGGGGCGACATCCTCGGGTGCGGCTGGAATCGCGCCGACCACTCGATCTTCTTCACCCGCGACGGCGTCGTGGTGGGAACCGTGCCGCTGCCCGCCTCCTTCCGCCAGGCGGCAGCGGCGGCCGAGGGCTCTACTGAAGAAGAGCTGCAACGGGACCATCATCGCCCGGCCATCCACCCGATGCTCCGCGTGCGCAGCAAGGGCGCCGAGCTGGTCTCCAACTTCGGGCAGTTCCCCTTCCTCTTCGACTTCCACACCCACCTCCGCCACCAGCTCCTCCTCCTCCCCACGCCCCCATCGGCCAGCCCCATCCTGCGCCACCTCCTCAGCGCCGCCGTTCACTCCTCCGCCTCCGCCTTGCGCCGTACGGCTCAGCTTCCGCCGCCGCCGCCGCTACCGCCGCACTAATTGGGGTGTTTGGGGGGGGCAGCAGTGGGCACGATCACCGGATGGCGCGGCCACAAAGCGGAGTGGCGGCGGCCGCCGGGGGCGGGGTCGGGGGCAGAGCAAGTGCGGGTGCGGGACACGGTGCTGCTGTGGCTGGCCTCCGCCGACGTCGACCTGCGCTTCTCCCACGTCGTGACGCGCGCCCTGGACGCCCGACTTCCCTGCCGTGCGTGCCTCTTTCTGTCCGCAGCCACCGCCGCTGGCGTCGCTAACCACCGACATCTGCCGTGCGTGCGTGCGTGCGTGCGGGTTTCAATGTGTGTGATCATCAGAGGTGGAAGCGATTGACCGGCCATCGGTGGACTCGGACGATCGCGCCCTCCTCAGGTGCTACCTGCCGGACACTGCGGCTGAAGCCACCTTCTGGTGCGCGCCTCCTCCGCCTCCTCCTTTTCCTGCTTCTGTCTGTGGCCCATTCTCACCCCACCGGGGGGGGGCTCGCGTTCGCGCAGGTATCCCGTCAGGTGCCTGACGCGCGTGGATGCGGACGACGAGACCTACGCGGCATTGCGGGCATCCCTGACGCCGCCCCGCCTCTTCAAATACGGTACCGGACCACGCCCTCGTGCCAGGGCTGGGTCTCTCTCTCCTGACCCGATGCTCTTGTTCTCTCTGCATGCGTGCGTGCATTGTGTGTCGTGTGTCGTGTGTCGTGTGTCGTGTGTCGTGTGTCGTGTCGTGTGTCGTGTGTCGTGTGTGTGGTCGTGGTCGTGGTCGTGGGGCGAGCAGGGGCGCTCCTGGAGGACGAGGTGGCGTACCACTACGAACATCAGCTCGCGCTGGCGTGGATGCTGCAGGAGAAGGAGGAGGACCTCTCCCTCGACCTCTTCGTCGGGGGGACCGACTGTGCCAGCGCGCTCCGCTTCCTGCGCCTCACCTTCGACCGATTCAAGAGCGCCACCCTTCCGCTCCTCCCCCCGCCTGTACCCTTCCCCCTTCCTCTCAGCCGCCGCCGCCACGCTGGCGGTGTATGCGCTCATCCGTGATGATGATGATGATGATGATGATGATGCACCACTCACGGCGGATGATGATGATGATGATGCACCACTCACGGCGGCGGCGGCGGCGGGGTCCAGGCGGACGTGCGGCAAGGGCAGGGGCAGGGGCAGCGAGCGCTGAACGTGTTGGCGCAGCGCGTGGCCGCACTCCTCCGCAAGGAAGCCCGGGGCCGTGGCGCCGCCTCGTGGGGCACCTTGCTGCCTCCGCCGCCCAAAAAGCCGCGCCTCATCCACGTACCTACCAAGCCCCCCCCCACCCCCAAACAAGCAAAGGGCCTCGTCGTGGTGGTCGTCGAGGTCGTGGTCGTAATTCACCCCCGCAACCGTGGCTCGTCGCCAGCAGCAGCGCGAGACGGGCGATCAGGCCGGACCGGGAGGAGGAGGAGCAGGCCCCGCCACGACGACGACCCTGCTGCAGGGCCTCGTCGGGGTCGTGGCCGCTGCTACGGATACGACCATCGCCACCGCCCCCGGGGAGCAGCAGCAGCGCTCGGCGTCCTTCCACGCGTGGATCCTCCACACGCTGGCCCTCGCCTTCCCGCGCGCCCTGCCCTTTTCCCACACCACCCAGGTCTGTTTGCTCCTCTCCCCACCACCCCGCCGCCGCCCCGCCCCGTCTTGCTGGCGGGAGTCACACTATTCTCATCATCTTGTGTATACGTACCACCGGTGTCGTGTGTGTCGTGTGTGTCGTGTGTGTCGTGTGGTTGCTGCTGCTGGTGGTGGTGGCGTGTGCAGCTGCTCATGGGCCTGCTGCGGGCGGTGGAGAGTGCGGGTCCCGGATGTGAGTCGCTCGTCGCCGCTTTCCCGTTTCTGGTGCCTACCGCCACCGCTTCCTTTGGAGGGTCATGTGTCGGGAGAGAGGGAAAGCGCGGGGGGAGGTAGGTCTCCTCTTTCCTGACCGCACCGGTGGGCGTGGTGGTGGCGGCGGCGGCTCGTGGTGGTGGTGTGCAGGATGGGGCACTGGACGTGCTGCAGAGGTACGGTTCCACGCTGGCCGGGAGCCTACCGGCCGAGGCCCTCTCCAAGTCGCTCTTCTCCTTCACCGAGTCCTACCAGCCGCCCCACCAGCTCACCGTAATAATACTACAACTACTCCCCCCCCCAACCACCACCACCACCGCCCTCATACAATACGAATAGAGCAGCTACTCATCGTGGTCGGTGGTCGTGGTCGTGGTCGTCCAGGATCTGCTGGCGGCCAACGTGGAGCGTTCGTTCGGTATGCTCTCGGAGGAGGACTGGGCCAAGGCGCGGTTCTGCAAGTACGCCATCGAGACGCAGGCCCTCTTCCACCGCATCTCGTCGCCCGCGCTTCCCCCGCCCTACGCGGCCCCTTCCGGCGAGGCCGTGCACGTGTGGGACCAGGAGTGGACGGACCCCGCGTGGCAGCTCACCGACGCCAACTGGCACGCCACCGCCCTCCTCGCCGCCGACCTCGCCCGCTACTACCACCACCACGCCCTCCACCACCACCCCTCCACCACCACCCTCTGCCGCCTCCGTGGCCCAACCACCGCCCGGGCTGCTCGAGGAAGCATGGATCGACCTCACGCGCCACCTACGCCGAGACCTCCCCCTCGGGTACGTCCACCACCACCACCACCACCACCACCACCACCACCACCACCACCACCACCACGCTGCGTTGATTGATTGGGTGCGCAGGCAAGAGTACGAGGAGGTGTTCGAGCAGGAGGGGGCCATGAACGTCAGCGTCCTGTACGCCTTCGAAGGGACCGAGCACGTGCAGGGCACGCTTGAGGCCGTCACGCTCGACGGCATCCACGACGATGAACCCGACCACCCCTTGAGACCCACGCGATCAGCCACCGTACGCCGCCTCCTCTTCAATCGGAACAACATGCGGTGGCTCCAACCCTTGTGATTGTGGTTGTGTGTGTGTGTGTGTGTGTGTGTGTGTGTTGTGTGTGTGTGTGTGTGTGTCGAATCAGTTTGCGGGCGGCTTGTTCAAGGCCGAGCCCGGGCTCCTGCGGCTCGGGGAGTTGACCGGCGGCGAGCGGCTGAGGGTGCGGTGGCGGCCCGTCGACGGGGGCGGCGGCAGCGGTAGCTCGCCGGCCTCCACCGGCGGCTGCTGGCTCAAGCTGTACGTGGTACGGCGCTGGACGGCCGACGGCCGACGGGCGTGGGTGGAGAGCAAGGCGGCAGACATGCGCGCGTTCGTGGCCGGGCACCGGGCCGTGGAGGTCGGTCAGCGGGGCGAGGTCCTGGCCCAGCTCATGGCCCTCCTCAACGAGCGCGCGGCGCGCAACAGCGGCGGCGGCGCCAATGGTAGCGGCGGCGGCGACGAGGCGATGGGGTGGGCGTGGAGCGTGGCGCACGAGCTGGCCTTCTCGCGCGAGGAGCTGCTGCGGTATCCGCTGCTCGACCCCACGCACGCCCCGCTCCCGTGGCTGCGGTACGAGCTCTGCCAGCTACGGCTCCTCAGCGCCGTCGTGGGCCGCGCCCTGCCGCTGTTCGACCTCCACCTCCGCCTCCGCGCCCTCCACAAGTCCGCCGCGCCCGGCGCCGCCGCGTGGAAGCGCCCGCGCGAGCCCTACCCGCTCTCGCTCCTCCTCCCCATCCGGCACCTCCTGCCCACGGCCCTCAAACTCGACTTCCTCGCCTCCGTCTCCCGCCAATCCCGCAAGAAGCGCGGCTCCAAGAAGGTCATCGTCAAGCGACGTTTCGAGCCCTCCAAAGGTACCCAATGCACACACGACACACACGACACACACGACGCACGACACGTACGAGAGGGAACCACACACACTCGCGCGCGCGCGCGCGGAGGAGCTGTGTCATTCGTCACCCACCGCCTCGCCCGTGTCCTGTGTGTGTGTGGTGTGGTGTGTGTGTGTCGTGTGTCGTGTCCAGAGCGGCGTATGGAGGACACGGTGTTCCATCAGCTCTTTGCCGCCCTCCAGCACATGGACTGCGCCAAGTTGCGCAGCACCGACGCCAACGAGCGCCCCTGGACCGTCGCCTTCCAGGTAACGGCTCCTCCTCTCCCTCCCTCTTTCCCCCGCACACATCTGCTGACGTGGCTGTGGCTATTTATTTATAACATTTATTCTATTTATAATATATATTTAAAAATATACAAAAATGCAGGGTGAAGGCGCCCAGGACGCAGGGGGGCCCTTCCGAGACGCGTTGATGGACGTCTGCGAGGAGCTGCAGTCCCCCAACAGCCTCCTGCCCCTCTTCATCCCGTGCCCCAACGCCCAGACCTCCTCGGGCAGCAACCAGTACGTCGTTGCCCACGCCACCACCACACCCGACCTGCAACGCGACACACACAACCGCACACGCGCGCGCGTGTGTGTGTGCGTGTGTGTCATATATCTGTGGGGACCGCATACCGACGCTGCGATGTGATCTCCCGCGTGTGTGACAGGGACGGGTACATCCCGCGCCCGTCGGCCACGCACAAGAACCATTTGGCCATGTTCGAATGGCTCGGGCGCCTCATCGCCGTCGGTTACCTCGCCCACGTACGTAGCCCTCCCTCGCTTCCCCCCCCCAAGCAAGCAAGCAAGCAAGCACCCCAGCCCAGCCAGCTGACGGGCTGGTAATCGATTTGGCACTTGCAGTGTCCGCTGCCCCTGTACTTCCCGTCGATCGTGTGGAAGGGCATCGTGGGCGAGCAGGCCACCATCGCCGATCTCGAAGGTGCGCACGCCTGGCCCACTTCTCACTTCTCTCTCCTCGCCCCCCTCCCCACACATGCCGCTCACTCATTCATTCTCGCGATGGCGGAGAACAGGCATCGACCAGTACTGCGGCCAAACGCTGGACGAGCTGCGCAGCGCCCGAGGCCTGAGCGAAGCCACCTTCGAGGACATCATCTTCGAGAAGTTCACCACCGTCCTCTCCGATGGCACCCTGGTCCCCCTCAAGGTTTGCTGCTGCTGCTGTCGTCATCGTGTTGTAGTACTGTAGTGCTGTAGTGTTGGATCAGATCTGACAGTGGTCGTGGTGGCTGGTGGCTGGTGGTGATGTAATGGTAATTGTATATATATATATATAGGACGGAGGCGAGGAGGAGCCTGTGACGTTTGCGAACCGGGACGAGTACGTGCAGCTGGTGGTGCAGGCGCGGCTGGCCGAGGGCGCGGAGCAAGTGCGAGCCATCCGACGCGGCATCGCCGACGTGCTGCCGGCGGGGCCGCTGTCGTTGCTGACGTGGCGGGAGGCTCGGGAGCTGCTGTGCAGCGAGGCCGAGATCGACGTCGACTTTCTGCGGACGCACACGCGGCACAGCGGGTGGGACGAGAACGACGAGACCGTGCGGTGGCTGTGGCAGGTGCTGCGCGAATTCACCGACCGGGAGCGCGCGCAGTTCGTGCGCTTCGTGAGCGGCCGCGAACGCCTGCCGCGCGGTGTCGGATCGGACGTCGAGTTGATGGTCATCAACCGGCAGTACGGCTCCAGCCTCCCCAAGGCCTCCACCTGCTTCAACGCCTTCTACCTGCCGGCCTACGCCTCCCTCGAAGAGCTCCGCGAGAAGCTCCTCCTCGCCATCACCTCCTGCCGCGACATCGACACCGACTTCCGCGTCCGCGACGACTCTGACTTTTACCGCGGCGATGACGACGAAGACGAGGAAGAGGAAGAGGAGGAAGAAGAGGAGGAATGAGCTCTCCCCCCATCTCTCTCCCTCCCCCCCAAGCAATCCCCCAGTGCCCACTTACATAAATAAATAAATAAACTGTTTTCGTTGGTTTGTTGTAAGCTCTCTTTGTGTTGCCTTCTAGAAGCCGCGGCGCAGTTCGTCCTGCAGCTTCTTGCTCTCGGCGGCGCCCATGTCGCCTAATGAGAAGAGGGGGATGAGCCTTCGTGGTGGTGGTTGATGTGGGCGAGGGCAAGGGCACCGTAGCGGAGGAATTCCATGGTGAAGGAGCCCGACCCACGGGTGAGAGAGCGGAAGAGGGTGGAGTAGCCGAGGAGCTCCTTGAGCGGCGCCTCGGCCTCGACCAGACGGTGGTGGGGCAGCACGTGCACCGCCCGCACCATGCCTCGTCGCCCGGACGCCATGTCTCCCACCACCGTTCCCAGAGCACTCTCGTCCACCATCAGTTCCAGCTACACACAACACAACACACTCATGAGCTGCTACATTGCCCTGTATGATGTGCGTCGTGTGTGTGTGTGTGTGTGTGTGTGTCGTGTGGTAGGGTACCTTCATGATGGGCTCGAGGAGCGTGGGGTCGGCGGCGAGAGCGGCCTGCTTGACTGCGTCGGCGGAGGCGGCCTTGAGAGCGGTCGGGCTGACCCCCGGGTCGACGGCCAGGTGGGTGACTGCCACCCGCACGTCCTCGAGCGGGAACCCAAAGAAGAGGCCCGACCGGCACCCGTTGGCCACTCCCTCCGCCAGGGCCTGCTCCAGCGCCTGGCTCTCCTTGGCCCCTGCCCCCTTCAACGCCTCGCTCACCGCCAGGTTCTGCCCAGGTCGCAGCCACACACACACAAACACACGCACACACACACACACGGAGTTGAGCACGAGCAGGGTGGGTGGATGGATGAGTGGAGCGTTGGCGTACTTGGTACTCGTTGCCGTGGGCGCGGGCCGTGGGTTCGATGTCGAGGGTGAGCTCGACGTGCTGCTTGACTCCGCCGATCTCGTACTCGCGGGCGAGGGTATGCGAGAGCGCGCGCCCCACCGTCGCCCGATACGACACCCGCACGTTGCCCACGCGGGCCCCCACGCGATAGTGGTTGAGAATGCGATCCCTTCCATATGCACACACGACACACACGACACACACACACACACACACACGACACACACGACACACGGCACACACGACACACACGACACACACGACACACACGACACACACGACGTCGAATCAGAGGAGCGGCCTCACGAGCGAGAAAGCAAGCCCGCGCCGCGAGTGGGTGGTGGAGTACTTGAGGATCTCGAGGTGCAGCTCGCCCATGGCCGAGAGGAGGGTTTGGCCGGTCTCGGGGTCGAGCGAGACGGAGAACGAGGGGTCTTCCTTGCGCAGCAGGCCAAGCGCGTCGTCGAGGGCCTTCTGTGCCGACAGCGACTCGGGCTCGATGGAGCAGAAGAACACCGGCGGAGGTGGATCGATCCCCTCCAGCAGCAGCCTACCCCCCTGCGCGTGCCGCCCAGCCCGCGTGTGTGTGTGTCGTGTGTGTCGTGTGTGTCGTGTGAGCCCATGTAGGGTGAGGGAGTGGGGAGAGGGGGCAGGCTTACCTTGGCGTGTTGGCCCTTGTGGGCCTTCTTGTTGCCCTTGGCGGGCACAAGGAGAGTGTCGCCGGTGCAGGTGTCCTTCAACCCGAGCGCCGCCACGATGTTGCCCGCCCCCACACGCCCCACCTCGGTCTGCGCCACAAAACAAAAATAAGAGAAAGGGGGCGATCTGCTGGGTTAGGCCCGCCCCCCGCCCCCGCGCGGTGGCCGTGAGAGGCTTGCAAGCGGGTGCGCGCGCGCACCATGTCGTCGGCCTGGATGTTAAGGAGGCGGCTGACGCGCTCCTTGACTTGGCGGGTGGAGTTGTAGACCTCGGTTGCCGGAGTGAGTTCTCCCGAATAGACTCGCAGATACACCATCAGCCCACGCTGCACGTCATGCACCACCTGCACCACGGGACCCGCCGCCGCCAGTAAAAAGTGTGTGTGTGTGTGTCGTGTGTGTGTCGTGTGTCGTGTGTGTCGTGTGTGTCGTGTGTGTACCTTGAAGGCGAGAGCGCACAGGTCGGGTCCATCAGGAGTGATGGCGATGTGTTGCCCTGTCTCCATGTCGACGGCGCGTACGGGCGGGCGATCGAGGGGGGAGGGGAGGTATCGGCAGATGGCGGCAAGGAGAGGCTGCACGCCTCGGTTCCGCAGCGAACTGCCGCACACCACGGGAACCCCCTCCCCGGCCAGCGTCACTCGCCGCAGGGCTCCGTGCAGCAGCTCTCTCGCGACCGTTTCCGCGCTCGCCCCCTCCTGATGCACCACCACCAGCCGCATAGATCGCAGTCACACGAGCTGGCCTTGTATATGCGCGCCGCACACGGTCCTCCTCCTCCGTGTGCGTGTGCGTGTGCGTGTGCGTGTGCGTGTGCGTGGGTGAACCTCGAGGACAGCGCGCATGATGGCTTCGTCGGCGTCGGCGAGCTGCTCGAGAAGCGTTTCACGAGCCTGCAGGGCTTTGGCATAGAGGCCCGGGTGCTCCTCGGGCGTGAGATCGACCACCTGCATCGCCTTGCCCGACGGGTCGGTCCAGCGAATGACTCGCATGTCCACGACGTCGATCACGCCCTCGAGAACTCCCTGGCGCGAGGGAGGCGAGCAGGCACGCAGCCGTCAGTGCCCGCGCGGCATTGAAGAGATGCGGGAGATTTGGGCGGGCGAGCGGGCGGGGATGGGCACCAGGGTGGTGGGCAAGGGGAGCTGCAGCAGCAGCGGCCTGGCCCCGAGCCGCACACGCATAGAGTCGGCTGCCCGTTCCAGACTGGCTCCTGTCGGCCCCAACCAAGCCCGCCCGCCCGCCCCACCGCAGAAAAGTGCACGAAGATGAACGTGTGAGAAACTGACCACTCTGAGCAGAAAAATGCGGCGATTTCCTCCACACACGGGGTGGAGACGGTGCGGTGGTCGTTGGGCGTGGCGTGGCGCGGTGTGGGGTGAGGGTTGGTGCCTTCGCGGTCGAGCTTGTTGATGTAGGCGATGACGGGCACGCCGTACTTGCGCGCCTGTCGCCAGACCGTTTCGCTCTGCGCCTGCACCCCCGCCACGCCGTCGAAGATCGCCACTGCCCCGTCCAGCACCCGCACGCTACGCTCGACCTCGAACATAAAGTCGACGTGCCCTGCATTCAACAAAAAAGGCCCACGCCGCCCATCGCCCGTTGTGTGTGTTCAGACGGTGGTCACTGTGCGCGCGAGCTGTGGAGGCGCGGCCAAGGCCTGTGTGCGCGGGTACCCGGGGTGTCGATGAGATTGATCTTGTGGCCCTCCCAGTTGAAGGTGATCGCTGCGGCTTTGATAGTAATCCCTCGCTCCTGCTCCAGCTTCATAAAGTCCAGCACCGTGTTGCCCGAATCCACGTCTGATCGCGTGCGTGCGTGAGGACGACCCACCAGCCAGCCACCACGACAAGGGAGAATGGCTGTTGACAGCGAGAGTGGTGGTGGTGGGTCGGAAGGTCGGAAAGGTACCTCCGATGCGCCGCGTTACGCCCGAGTAGTGCAGCATGCGCTCGCAGGTGGTCGTTTTGCCCGCGTCCACGTGTGCCACCACCCCGATGTTCCGCACGCGCTCGACTGCCACCTCCGCTTCGCTGTGTTGCTGCCCTGCACATCGCCCACACCGCGGCGGGTGGCGCCCGAGTCCGTTGTGTAGGTCCGGTGAAAATTGTGGTGTGGCGGGGAGTTGTGGTGGTGCGGAAGGAGTGGCAGCGGGAGACGTACGTCGGTGGACCCAGGTCAAAAAGAAGGAGGGGCGGATGAGGCGGGAAGAGGAGGAGGAGAGCACGAGGCTACTGCCGCGTTGCTGCTGCGGCGGCCATGCTGCAGGGCTATTGCTGCTGCTGCCGCTATGTCGTGCTTGACACCACCACTGCCGGCCGCCAGAGCGTGGTGCTGTTGTCACAGCTGGACCCACCCGTAGAGTAGCGCGACGCAGCTGCATCAAGACTTCAATCAAAGGTTCGAGTCGTTTTCCTTTCTTCTTTCCCCCATTTCTTCTGCTTCTTACTCCTTTTTCTTGGCGCCAAAAAGAGCGTTTAAAAAAGGCGCCAAAAAGGGGAGCGTTGTAGGACGTTGCAATCACCAACGATTCAACACCCACAAGGTACAGCAACGGAGCATACTCAACGTACGTCCCATCTTGAGCGAGTGGATGCCTTCCTTTACCGATGCCTATGTGCCCACTTACCCGCCTCAACCCGCACAGATGAATGGTGCAGCGGTACTGGCCGAAGTCATAGAAATCGGAGACATCTTGAGCAAGGGCGAGGAGGCGGATTGGGATGTTAGAACCAAGGCCATGATCAAGCTCCAGGAACTTGCCCCCACGGCCTCGAAATACGACAGCTTCGCGACCGGTCTTGACAAGATTAAGAAGCATCTGGTAGCGCAGGTAAGTTGCCCTTCTCTTCTTTTGGCCTGCCTCAGGTTGATATCAAAAGCTCACGTTGTTGGTGGGGGGGCAGCTCAACGATCTCCGCTCCCAGGTGATCAAGGAAATCTGCATGACCGTTGGCGTGCTGGCTCAGTCGCTCGCCGAAGATTTCGACTCGTTCGTGGGCTTGTTCTTCCAGCCGCTGCTACGACTTACTGGAGTGAAGACCCTCGTGATGTCGCAAGCTGCGCACGACTCTCTCCTCAAGGTGATGGAGCACGCCTCTCCCGCGGCTGGAGTTGAGGCAGTCTTAAGTCAGGCCACCACTGCCAAAGGCCCCAAGGAGCGCGCTCGCTGCATGGAATACCTCTCCCTTCTCCTCGATCGTGCCGCAACAGAATCGCTGGAGCGGCACAGGGACTCAATCGCCTCAACCATCGTTGCAGGTATACGTTCCCCTCCTCCTCCTCCTCCTCTTCACTTCTTCGAACGGACGCAATCCTAACACTGTTTTCTTGGTCCGGGCTTTTCACTTGGCATCTTCCACGCGCAGGCATGAGCGACGCATCGCCTGAGGCCCGCTCTCAGGCGCGCGCGTGCTTCCAGCAATTCGCGGGGCACTGGGATGACCGCGCCGCAGCACTGAAGGAGACTCTCGACTCTTCCATTCAGCGTGCTCTCGCTCGTGATGCACAGGCCGCGGCCTCCAAGAAGAAGTCCCTCGCCGACTCCAACACTGCGACCAAACGACGGGCGGCGACGGCTGCAGTCAAGCGTGAGCAGCCCGAGAGCTTGAAGGCGCGCATCCAACAGGCACAACGTGTTTCCGTCCAGACCGACACGGCCGTACCCCAGGACGTGATCCTCGTGGAGCATCGGCCGCCCGTTCGTGTGCTCGTTCCTGAACCCAAGGCGCTGCCGCCAACCCCTGCGATCCGAATCCCTGTGGAACGCAGCGAGGAGACCGCAGTCGTTCCCCTTCTCGCCGGCGCGGAACGCATCCCCGCTCCTCCGACCACGCCTCTGCACCAGGGCACCTCGACCCATCGGCCTTCGCTGCTGCTCTCCGAACAAGGACCCAAACGCGCCCACCAGGCCCACACGCCCGCGGTCGACGTACCGGGCGATGGCGAGCTGGGCTCGGCTTCTACTGCTGCACACAGCAAGGCCAAACGCGTGCGCCTTGCCCGCATTCCCGCCCACAAGACGGGGACCACCGATTCGCGGAGTCACCACGCCCAGCAGCCCTTTGCTCGTCACGCGGCGGGCACAAGAGCGCCGTCCACTCCTCCTGCGAAAAGGATCGCAGCGCCTCTCAGCACCGACTGGGAAGCCGAGTCCGGCCACCTCACAGCCCCCATTCCGATGCTCTATCTTGTGAAGGCGAAGCAGCTGGAAAACGAACTTCCTCCTAGCGGTATGTATAAATGCATCCCCCGCCTTCCTCTTACTCTCCCCCATCTATCGATCTATCCGTCCATCCATCCATAATCAGCTTACTTACCCGCGGCGGTCGCTCTTCTTCATCAGGGTCCGACTTGAACGAGCCTTCACAGAGTGAACCGGCTCTGGACTCCCCGGTAGTCCCATCTCCAACACCTACAGGCCCAGCGCTCTCCCCGCGTGCGTCGTTTGAAGCTTCGCCACCGGTGGAGCTCGAAAAGGTGGTGCCCGGTCCATCGGCTTCCGTAGAGCCGATGAATATCGAAGAGGACCAAACCGGCTTCGCCCCAGGCCCCGCAGACGACGAGCCGGCGTTCGACGTGAGTCCCCACAAGGCAGTCTTCGATGCTGCGTTGGATATCCTGGTCCAGCTGCCTGCCGCAGCACCTCTCGAAGAAGCGGTTCACCAGGCGAGGGCTAGCCTCCAAGAATCCGCGCAGGACTGCATCGAGCGCACTTTGACCTGCATCGTGATAGCTTCCCGTAACGGGCGCATGCTCGTAAGTTGAAACCCCATCGTCCCCCATCCTTCAAGCACTGCCGACTCTGCTTGCTGACTAGTCCTTCCTTCTTTGTGCTGTCTTACAGGCGGCGAGACGTGCACTCGAGGCCTTCTCCCCACTGCTGCACCAGCCCCACAGCCTTCCTCGTTTGGCCCGCGCAGCGGTCGGACTGTTGGCCATCGACGAAGATCGTCAGTACGTCTTCTCGGTCATGCACCAGATTCTGCTGCTCCTGCCTCGCGTCGTTGAACTCGACGTCACAAGCCTTCACACCCTCATTTCCGCCGTGCTTACGGTACTTGCACCTTCATGTGGCCCTGCCTACGTCATGTCTTCCCGACTTCCTTCCATTCTCATCTGTCTGCGCGTTCAGGGGATGGACGACTCCCGCGTTGAGGTTCGGAAGGCGTCGACGGACGTGGCGGCGGTGTTGTGGGTCAAGCTCGGGGACGCCGTGCTGCCCCTTTTCTCTCGTCTCTCCCCGTTGGCCTCGCGCATGCTCTCGCAGCGCCGCGACCAGGCCCACGCAACCCTACTCTCCGTCTCTGCCGCCGCCAGCTGATCTTGCCAAGACCAAGACCATCAGGCCATCGCAACAACTCTCTTCTTGTTCAATGTACATACCCACCAACGTGCCCGTCGACAAAAAAGTTTTGGCGCGAACTTTTGGGCGCGAAAGAAGAACGGTTCTCCCGCCACAAACCGTTTTTCGATCACATCCACGAATTGAGCTCATCTGGCACCCATCATCAACGCCATGCAGTCCCGCAACAAGAGGCGCGACTCCATCTTGAAGAAAGGGGGGCTACAGTCCAACAAGGCCCGCCGGGTGAGTTTCTCCAGCAAGGTCAACTGCAAATTCTTCAACAAAAATGAGGCGATGCCCTCATCTCCCCTGCCTACGAGGAAGCGCACCTCCACCAGCCCGCGGCGGCAGCGCGACGAGGAGACGGAGGAAGTAGAGGACAAGGAGAACCAAGCTCCCAGCAACATCTCGAGGAGCGCCGCACGAGCATGAAGAGCGGCAGCGCCAACACAACGGCAGCGCAGGCCATTCTCGAAGACGAGGTGCTCACCATGCCCCTCAAGGGGTCCTTCCACTCCTCCCTCGACGACGATAGCATGGGCTCCTTCTACACCACACCATCGTCGCGCAGCAGCTTCGGGGCTGCTGGCGACCTCACTCGCCGGTTCCTCGATGAGTCCATGGACTTGACCCAGGTGGCGATCGCGGACGACCTCTCTTCTTCTTCTTCTCCGCCTCGCCGCCAGCACTCCCCCTCTTCGCCTCCTCTCTCTCGCACCATCATCCTCAACGAGTCTCTCGACCTCACGGGCATCGCCACCGACGCCTTCGTGTTCCGGTCCTCCCCTTCCTCTCCTCCCGACGATGGCAAGCGTGAAGCGGACGAGACGGAAGAGAGGCAGCCCGCCCCAAGGCGCCTTGCCCGCCGTCGGTCAGTGCAAGGCCGCCAGCGGCCAAGCATCGGCGGGAGGGCGTCCGTCTCTTCTTCGTCTTCTTCTCTGCCCGAGGACTGTACCCTCGTTTTCGACACGACGATGGACATGACACTCTCCGCTCCCGACGTAGACTTGCGAGCGATGATCGTGCACAATGACAACGGCAACGAAGACGACGACGACGACAGGAAGAAGGACGCCGCGGCCGAACACACTCTCCTGCTGGGCACCACCATGGACCTCACCTCTGTTCTCGACCACCACGGCCGCCGCGACGAAGACGACCTCGAGGGACAGCGCGCGGGGGAAGAAGACGCGGGAAGGCGAGCGCACCAGAACAACGAGACGCAGTTCACCGACGACACGATGGACCTCACCATGACCAGCACCAACCACCGCGCCAAGCGACGCGTATCGGCGTACAGCGAAGACGAAGACGAAGAAGTGGCAGCAGGCGTGGGCGAAGAGGAAACCGCCACATGCGACGCCACGATGGACCTCACCGCCGTGATGGAGGCCACCATGGACCTCACGAGCTCGTTGCCCTCTTCTCCAGGTGCGCTCCCCCCACGCGCCTCTTTGTCTTCGCGGCCACGAGAATTGTTCTCGTGTGTGCGTACAGTCGTGGGCACCCACCGTTGAACTCACCCACCGAGTTTCGTGTAATCGTTTTTTTTATGTGGCGGCGGCGGGCGCCTGGCTGACCAGACTGTCTGCTGCGGGCCAAGCTAAGAGACGCCATTCTGCTGCCCGAGGTCGAGAGAAAGCAGTGGGTTCGCATTCCTCCACCCCCCCTGCGCTTGCTTCCACGTTGGCCGCGCGCATGCACTACGCAGTGTTGTGCGGCGATCGGTCCCTGCGGGTGTGAGCAGGCGAAGAAGACTGACCGGAGAGTGTGGGGGGGATATGCTGCTCACTTCAGGGCTGCGACACCTTGGCCGAGCTCACCAAGCCCACAGAGCTTCATGCAAAGGAGCTGGAAGACCAGATCCCCTCCAACAGCAGGTCCAAGCTTTCGGCGGGTACGCACTACTACGACTACTACAACGTTGGTAGTAATGCTCTGCACGGCCAGCCTCGCTTACAGGGTTGGTCGGCGCGTGTCGACTCCTCCCTTTTTCATCAGATCTCTCCAGGGCCGTCACCAAGAAGTCCGTCATCCAGGCCCAGTCGGTGGTCCAGCTTTGGTCGAACGACGTGGAGCAAAGCTTCAACGCTGCGCTGCAGCTGCACGTACGCCTATGCGTCACCCACCTGATGAACCACCTGCGCGACTCGCGTGCCTCGAGGAGGGTCTCATTCCCCTCCCTTGCTCTTCCCTTCATCTGCAGATCCAACACCTCCAAGCCGAACACGAGGAAGTCGCTGTCCTTATCGAGCAGCACAAGGAAGCGGCGAAAGAGAGGCTGGCGCTCGTCCGCCGCCACACGGAGGAAAAGCAAGGTACGAACGAAAGTCGTTGTTGGCCACACAGCCTCCAGCTCGCACTGGCGGCCGGCCCCGGTAGTGAGCTAACCAACCAACCAACCCATGGGTTACGTGATGCGCAGATTTGTTTGATATCCTGCAGGGGCTCGGGCTGTGGCAGCTGAGGTCCTACGGCCAGTGCGAGGTGTCGTTCCTCTTCAAGGCGCGAGCGCCACTACGGCCACATGTTCTCTCCCTTCAGCTGGCGCCGATGCAGCAAACCGATCCTGATCTCCCGCGTGCCAGTACGCTCGTCCCCGTGTCGCACCGTGATGCTCTCTCTCCCTCGCGCGCGGGCGTGCGGTCTTTTTGGCGGAAGCTATCGACTGACTGTTGGGG